CGTGGTGAGGATGGGTGGGAGAGGCGAATAAGTGAGGGAGTGAGGTGACATAGCTTGAGCAGCTCAGACCCTCGTTTCACGCACACCAGCAGGCAGGCACAACAGATATTGTCACACGGCTTTAGTACCTTGGTGATGGTCACACTCACCAGTTCCAGTCATATTCACTCACACGCGACACATCATCCCGTGGCGCACTCACGTGCACTCTTTCAGTCACATTCCATTCAGTCACATTCACTCACCACGTCGATGCGCGGCGCGTTCTTGAGCTGCTCCAGCAGCTGGTTGGGGCCCCTCACGGACGCCATGGCCTGGATGCGCTGCCGCAACACGCGGTTCTCCTGCTCCAGCATCGTCATGCTGGGGGGAGAAGAGGGAGAAGGTTCCAGATTCATGTCGGGAGTAGCAGCAAACCTGTAAACACGCCTAAGCGAGATCAAGACTGTAAAACTTGCTCCAGCATCGTCATGCTGGGGGGAGAAGAGGGAGAAGGTTGATGCGAGAGGGATGGGAGAGGGCAGGGAGGGGAGCACGGAGAGGGAGGGGGTCACCACACGATGGCCTGGTTGCGCTGCCGCAACACGCGGTTCTCCTGCTCGCGCTGATTTGAGGGATAGAGGGGCGGAGGAGACGACGGAGGGAGGGGAGGAGTGTGGAAACGGAGGGGATAAAGAGACAACATCGCATGATTGTGCTGCAATGAAGGAAAAACAAGTTGCGTTTGGGGGATGAGAGGGAAGTAACGGAATGAGAGGAAGGCCTCTTCTCTCTCTCTCTACCTCCCTCATCCTCACACTCACCCAGCAAGCCGTTCCTTGAGCGCGCCGAGCTTGCCATCCAGCTCTTTCAGCATGCGGTGCTTCACGGCCGCCACGTCCTCCGCAACACCGCGCACACACGTGTTCCTCCCCCCACACCCGCTCCCCCTCTCCCCATCCAACTCACCCGGCCAGTCGTTCCTTGAGCGCGCCGAGCTTCCCGTCCAGTTCCTTGAGCATGCGGTGCTTCACCGCCGCCACATCTCACAGACACACGCGCCCCGCAACCCCTCCCCACCTCTCAACCTCTCCCCATCCCTCTCCCTCTTTCACTCTCTCTCACTCACTCACTCACCCAGCAAGCCGTTCTTTAAGCGCGCCGAGCTTCCCGTCGAGCTCTTTCAGCATGCGGTGCTTCACCGCCGCGACATCCTCCGCGTCGTCCGCCATCGACGTCGCCTCCCACGCGCGCAGGCTCTTCTCGTCCGCCCACGCCTTGGCCTCCGCGTACCAGCTCTGCAGCAGCTTGTTCTGCTGCTTCAGCTTCGCGATCGCGTCGCTCTCCGTGCGCGTCTCCGCCAGCAGCTTGCTGAACACCTGCAGATCGATCGACCCCTCCGCGTTCCCCGCCGGCTTCGGCGGCGCCGATTGCGGCGGCGGGGTGGGTTTGACCGTTGGGACGAGCATCAGCGCGTTGTTCGGCCCGGGCTGAATCGACACCTCCGAAGCTGCCACGGACTGCGCGTCGCTGTTATCCATCATGCCTCCCGCCGCGTTCCCCGCCGCGATCGTCGCCGCCACGTCCGGCACCATCGCGCCTTCCGCCGCCAGACCCGGAAGGTTCCCGAGCCTGCGGCTCAGGCTCGGGTGCTGCCCGCGCGGATCAGAGGACTGGGAGCGCCACGCGATTTGACTCGAAGCGATCGAAACCGCGTCGCCCATATCCGACTCGGCGTACGCCGATCTGCGTGGCGCGGCCCCGCCATATCCGGCGGAGCTTCCGCCGTACCCGCCGCTTGCGCCAGGGGCTGCGCCCGCGCCTTCCCCGGGGCCCTTGTAGAAACGGTAGGGGGAGCTTTGCGTGCGCCAGGGGGAACCGATTCCGCCAGGGGGAGGGGTCGCTTGCGACGCCGCGTGCGACGCGTGCGACGGGATGTCGTCGGACGACACGAGGCTGCCACGTGTCTGCGACGCCCATCCAATGCCCGACAGCGAGTCTTCCTTATCCTCCTCCTTATCGTACCCAACGCTGCGAGCGCCGGCGGAGGCGCTGGGCGCGGCGGCGGGAGGAGCAATCATGGCGGAAGACGGAGGCGGCACGTAAGCAGGCCGCGCAGGTGCGGCGGGGGCGGGGCTCGGGCGGGACTGAAGCGACGCGGCTTGCTGCAGCGCAGCGGGAGGGCTTCCGCCACCGGCGCTTGGCGCGGAGGGCGCAGGCGCAAACGACACCGTCCGGCGAATCTCCCCCGGCTGACTCGCGGAAAGCGCCACTCCGCGGGAGCCAGCGGTGGCGGGGCGCAGGGGGGTGGCGGAAGGATGCACGGGGGAAGTGCTAGCTGGTGTTGCGCCAGGCCCCCCCGCCGTGGGATGTGCGGGTGACGTCATCAGGCTGGCGCGCGGCGGCATCTCCGACATGCTTCGCGCCATCCCCATTCCCCCAGCGCCCGCCACTCCCGCCCCCGCCACCGCCGCCGCTGACGCTCTACCCTGACTGCTCGCGGGTTGCTTCGGGCGCACAGCGTCTATCTGCGCAACCTTTGCGCGCGCGTCCTTCAGCGCCGCTTGCAGACGCGCGACCTCCGCCGCTTTGATCTCCTGCTCCGCCGGCGCGTCCGCGCGCATTCCGCGCGCCTCTTTCAGTGCAGCGAACAGTCGCCCGACTTCCGCCTGCGCGGAGCTAAAGTCTTCCGCGGACACCATGCTGGGCGCGGCGGGCGGAGCCATGGTTTGCGAGCGCGCCATCCCCAGCGGCTCCCGCGCAGCTGCGGGCGCGGGGGGAGCGGGCTTGGTAGCGGTCGCGCTCCGCTCCATCAGGACGGGATTCTGCGGCGCAAGACCCGCGGAGCCGACGACGGGAGGGCGCATGCCGCCAATGAACTGCGGAGGGGAGGCGGAAATGGAGGGGCGCAGTCATGATTGGGTGTTTCGGGTGGAAGGAAGGAAATCGGGCGGGAAGGTGGGAAGGTTGAGTGGGGGGGGGAAGGGAGAGGAGTGGGGGAAGAAACTGGGGTTGCTAGGAGTGGGGGATTAAAGCCAGGGTCTCACGTAAGCAAAGCAGCCATCAACTGCAAACCCTGTTTCACACCAACCAATGAGAACGCACCGAGATCTCGTCGTCGTTCTTGTCGTCATCGTCCTCCTCTCCCTCCCGCGCACCTCCCGCCGGGTATTCCGGGATGCTGGCCGGCAGGCTCTCCAGCACGCTGCCGACGACGCTGCTGCCGTCCTCCGACTCGTAATCCTCCACGTCGATGCGCCACCTGAGCGCCTCGCCGCCCGCGTCTTTCGCGCCGGCAATCGCGTCTGTCACGATGGCTCCTGCGCCATTCGCGGCCGAGTTCTTCGCGGAGCCGTCTGACGTGGCGTTGCCGCCGCTTTCGGCGGCGGCGGCTTCTAAGCCACCCGACATGGTGCCTTGAGAGTAAGGGATTCTGCTCTAAGAAATAAAGAGGAAACCTACAAACGGTAGTTGGGCCGGCAGGCGATTACTGCGAACTTGACAAGCTACGTCGCTAACAATCCAAGGTGATATAGTCCTGTGCTATCACTTAATTCTTAGCTTCAGTTTTCTATCCACCAACAACGTTCTCAAGTTTTGCTTTCAGTGGTCCACACTAGAACCCCGCAAAATTCAGAAACAAAAAGCGTGTCGCAGTGCGTAACGAAACCTGTTTCTCGCCGAACCTTAGCTGCTCGTACACGAAGCCGCCTAAGATGCGAACCTTCTAGAAATAACTTGTGCGTGCTTGGATAATCCGGAACCCGCTGTCTACCTCGTTTCCCAGGGCTGGCTACGAAGCGCTGGTAAGGGTTCCGCTAGCGAGATGCGATGCTTACAGCCATTCAACGCAGTCTAGAGACGTCTGAAGATTTTTTCCCTAGCCTTACCTCACGTCACCAACCTTCTTCCGTGCCTCGCAGACTCCCGTCACCGTCACGCTCCTGGTCAAGCTAACCCTAATCGCACGATGACTCGCGTCTAACACGCTTCACGTATCTTGTTGTGGAATGAGGGGCGCTGGAGCTAAAACAGCGGCAACTTCTCGTGTGGAAGGGAAAGTGGTAGAGCCATGAAAGCGAGTCGCCTCTGCTGTCAAATGTCGCTCAAATTTGGGTGACTGATGGGATGAAACCAACAGCAATGAGCGGAAAATCGAGTCGCGAAGACACGCATGAATTTCGCAGTGTTACATGTTTTTTTGTTGACTGTAAAATAGCTCCTTCCTCAATAGTGTCGCTCTGCCTGCGAAGATGTGTTTTTTTCGTTTGACGAAATTCTGGTCGCACAATGATCCACGGTTCCTCCATGATGTGCTGTGTACCGCGGGACGTGCCCGACGCGGAGCCGTGTGGGGAAGTGTGCGGTCACCTGTCACAGTACTTCTGGTGCAGAACTTCGTGACTTGGTGACAGCCAATAGGAGTGAAGTCTTTGGGCGATGCAGGCGGGAGGGCAGGGCCCTGTGGGCCGCTGCGCCTGGCGAGTCTTCCCGCCACTCAGCTTCGTGCCACGCCAGCGCGACTCGTAGGAAAAGCAAAATGAGAGACGCGTAACACTTGCATTTCTGAAATAAACAGCCCCTTATCTGTATAGATTTTGACAGCTTCATAAAGTGGTTCATTTGTGCAGGAGAACAAGCACATAAATAGTTTCATTAGTAAGGAAAAGGATTCATTTCATAGTATATGCAGCACACAATGTTGAAAACCTTGCCAGGTTGAGGAATCTCAGACTTGTTTTTTTCCCCTCCCACAAATCCCAACATTTCAACACTACATGTTCTTATGTGCAAAGCACACCGCCCTTAACTAGCTTCTGTTCACTATCAGGACGCGGGTTGGTTGACTTTCACCTTAGTGGCATATTCCACAAAACGGTCCATATCTGCCTGAATGATGCTCTCCACTAAAGGGTTTAGGCTCTGCAACAGGGATGGATGGGAGAGTGCACCATTAGCAGCACCAAATGACGAGATGATAACTGTTTAACTTCTTAAAGGGTTTAAACTCTGCAAAACCGATGGATGGGAGAGATGCACATGTGAACGTACCGCCAGTACAGGGACGAGGATGTCTGGGCACTGGTAGGTGAGAGTCATCTGTAACAGTGGCACAGAAAAACATTTACAAGATGTGAATAGCCGTGACTCCCAACACAACAGTGACTCAGCAGTGACACACTCAGCAGTGACACACTCAGCAGTGACACACTAAGCAGTGACACACTCAGCAGTGACACACTCAGCAGTGACACACTAAGCAGTGACACACTCAGCAGTGACACACCCAGCAGTGACACCCAGCAGAGACACCCAACAGAGACACCTAGCATTGTTACAAAACAATGGCACCCAACAATCTCCCTCATATCCCCTTCTCAACAATGGTAGTGGTGGTGGTGGTGGTGGTGGTGGTGGTGGTGGTGGTGGTGGTGGTGGTGGTGGTGGTGGTGGTGGTGGTGGTGGTGGTGGTGGTGGTGGTGGTGGTGGTGGTGGTGGTGGTGGTGGTGGTGGTGGTGGTGGTGGTGGTGGTGGTGGTGGTGGTGGTGTTAGAAATAGAGGATGTGAGGAGATGAGGGGGGAACGAGGTGAGACAGTAGAGGATGCAAGGGTATCAGTGAACGTTTAGTCGTATTTGGGAAGTCTGGGAGAATGTAGAGAATGCTGGAAGGAAAATGCAGGAGGGCAGCAGTGGTAAAGAGCGCCTGGAACAGGATGGGATGAATTTCAATGCAATAGAACAGGTTAAGTAACTTCGTGAGATGCATTTCTAACAAGCAACCCTCAGGTGGCTCTGATGCAAGCCTCAGGTGGCTCTGATGCAACCCTCAGGTGGCTCTGATGCAACCCTCAGGTGGCTCTGATGCAACCCTCAGGTGGCTCTGATGCAACCCTCAGGTGGCTCTGATGCATCCCTCAGGTGGCTCTGATGCATCCCTCAGGTGGCTCTGATGCATCCCTCAGGTGGCTCTGATGCATCCCTCAGGTGGCTCTGATGCATCCCTCAGGTGGCTCTGATGCATCCCTCAGGTGGCTCTGATGCATCCCTCAGGTGGCTCTGATGCATCCCTCAGGTGGCTCTGATGCATCCCTCAGGTGGCTCTGATGCAACCCTCAGGTGGCTCTGATGCAACCCTCAGGTGGCTCTGATGCATCCCTCAGGTGGCTCTGATGCATCCCTCAGGTGGCTCCGATGCAACCCTCAGGTGGCTCTGATGCATCCCTCAGGTGGCTCTGATGCATCCCTCAGGTGGCTCCGATGCAACCCTCAGGTGGCTCTGATGCATCCCTCAGGTGGCTCTGATGCATCCCTCAGGTGGCTCCGATGCAACCCTCAGGTGGCTCTGATGCATCCCTCAGGTGGCTCTGATGCATCCCTCAGGTGGCTCTGATGCATCCCTCAGGTGGCTCTGATGCATCCCTCAGGGTAGCATGGATGGATTTCACAATACACGCATTGCAATGGAACAAGTGAGGGAGCTTGTGAGATTTATCCCTAACAGGCAACCGGTGACTCTCTCATGCATCCCTCAGTGGATGGATGGGGTTCTGGCAGGTAAAGTGTGGGATTCAAAAACGTGTTACCTGTTCGGGACCCCATCGACTGAGCGCCACTGAATCTTCTGATTTGCGATGGGCTCCGGGGTCTCTTGGAGCACCTGATGACGTGGCAGAGGCAACATGTGAGCTGGCATGTGTGTATCTGATAAGGGAAATTATGGCATGAATAGCATGACACGTACTGTAACATGGAAGGAAATGGTGTGCTACAGAGGAATGGTGATAATAACGAAAGCATGTATCTACGAGTTTGATGTGGTAGCAGCAACTCGTCAGACAAGGAGTAAGAGACGCCTTCACCGCTTTCAACCCACCTTAACCGAGGTGATCCATGGCATCCAGTTGGGAACGAGCTCGCGATCTGACCAGAGGTCGTAGGCCAATGAGAGGGGAATGTTGGGCGCGTCAGCCACTGCTCTGACGCCACGTGGATTCACGAGCGTCCGTTTGTGAGCACGTACGGCAACGAACGACGTGTGAAACGAGAGATGAAAATGTGATGGCCAGAATGAGATAAAAACGAATAATACGTGTAGATAAATTGGAAGAAACACCGACAGAGAATCGAGAATAATGCTGACAAGAAAATGCAGATGCGAAGGTCATGTGTCCCAGCGTGTCGCAGCGTGTCGGCATTGCTCCGCAATGAATCCCAGTGTCTCAGCCGTCATCGCGTAAACGATTATTTTGGTCGACTCGAAACCATCATCACTCACTTGCATTCGAGCCACGTGGCAGAAACTGACAGGCGCCTACGCAGCGGGAGCTTATCACGCGGGGAAAGCTCGATAGCGGAGGCAGCAGAAGGAATTATTCGCTTTAACGGTGCTCCTACAAACGAGGACGACATCCTGCGACTGATACTCGCGCGATTCAGCATACACTGCTTTTCCACCGTCGTAGAGGCACCCGCGGGCTTACTATTTCCTGCAACTGTCCAAAAACTCGTTGCATCTGCCCCCATTACGCACGTTGGAATGTGAGCCACCGCCATTACTGGCAATGGCGTAAACAACAATGCCGAATAATCTACAGACAGACAATGTCGAAAATCCCAGTGCCTCAGCTCACAGATTAGCGAGCGCAGTGCACACATAATTCGGTGTCTTCTGTATTAACAGCTCCACTACCGTGTATTTGCTAGATTCAACATTGAGCACAAAATCTGCAATTTACAATGTCATTTTTCACAAAATGTTTTCCAAAATTTGCTGCCAAGCAAAGAGCAAGCTAAGCATCGGTTAGGACTCCTATATCTAGAGGGAGTGAAACACTTTTGAAATGTTTGTACGTGATAATGCTCTCATAAATAGGCACACTAAACACACTGCTAAGCCTACCTGGATCTCATTCTATACGAGCATACGCCCAGCCCACTGTACTAAACTGGTATGGTACCGGTACACATAAATGTGAACTTGACACTGGAACATTTCTTGTGCTTACGACGGGACGGGAAGGAGAATAGGGCCACCGGGATTATGCGAGAAGATGGATTCATGGCTATCTATAAGCACCATGATTGCTTCCACTATTGCTGTTTGCGCTTGTGTTGGCTCCTCTTCCAAAGGGATCTCTGCACACCAGCCAAAACACAAACGCACTGTAAGTGACAGGATACACCAACACGTGCTAAATTTGCTGAAGAAATGGAACACTTGCAAGTACCAAAAGCACAAATTGAAATGCCACCCTTCATGCGCGCGTCTGCAAATGAAGAGCGGACGTTGTCACTGGTTCACTCGGTGCAAAAGCTCGTGCTTTGGGGACACTTCATGATACATGGTCCCACATACACACATCATATCAACCAAAGCGTAAGCAGTGGATAAGTCACATCAGGAGAATGATCCAGCTCACCAGGAACAGAGGATTCTCCATTCGCCTCCACGACTGCAGGCCCATCAGCAGCAGCGGCAGCAGCACTCACTCCATCCCCCACCCTCATTCCCTTCTCACTCTGTGCCCTCCTCATAGCCGGACTCGCCATAGCATCCCCACCACCACCAGCAGCACCACCGCCTCCACCACCACCACCAGAACCACCACCAGCAGCAGCAGAAGCAGCACTGCCCTTGGGAGTCAAAGCAGGAGGGGAGGAGGGGGCCATCAGACTCGGCACATCCTCACTCACTCTCCCACTACCACCACCAGCACCACCACCTCCCGTGCTCTTGCTAATGCTGCTACCATCCATCCCTCTGCTACCCTCCCCCCCATCCCCTGCTGCTGCTGCACCTGCTCCTGAGCCTTCTCTGATTTCGTCTAGACTCAAGGAGGAGAGGGAGGGGGAGCGGGCAGTTGAGGAAGGGGGCTTGGAGGAAGGGGAGGAGTCGAAAGGGTCAGAGGTGGAGGAGGCGTGGGGGAAGGGGGAGGGGGATGGGGAGGGGGACGGGGGGACCTCTGGTCGTGGCCAGAGCAGGACAGGGGCGAATTCGGCTGCTAGGCTTTGGGCGTCCATCTGGGGGAATGGGAGGACGTAGGGAGGGAGGGAGTGGAAAAATGTTTTTTGGAGTGCTTTAAGAGGCGTTTTATTAGCGGTAACATGGAGAGTAACACCCCGACCACAACACAGCCCTCACCCCCTCCTCACCCCACACCTCACATTGTTGGCATCGGCGTGCAGGCTGACTCGGTACAGCAGGCACAGCACAGCATGCAGCGTTTCGAGATTCACAGGCCGCAGCATATGTAGCAGCATATGTAGCAGCACCGCAGAGGCCCACACACACCCAACCCCCACCCAGCCCTCAGAACCTCCCCCCTCCACCCCAGGCTGACTTAATACAACAGGCACAGCACAGTACGGCATGCAGCGACTCAAGATACACAGGCGGGACAATTTGTAGAAACTAACACACCAGGAAGGAAAGAACGAACTAGACTGCCACCTGCTAGCCCTCACCTTGTTCACATCGGAATGCAGACTGACTCGGTACAGCAGGCACAGCACAGCATGCAGCGTCACAAGATTCACAGGCGGCGATGTCGCTGCTGCTGCCAGTGGCAACCCCCATTCAACCCTCAGAACCCCCCCACACCCTTCCTCACCTTGTTCACATCAGCGTGCAAGCTAACTCGGTACAGCAGGCACAGCACAGCATGCAGCGTCTCAAGATTCACATGCGGCAGCGTGTGCAGCAGTCGCCTGAGCTGCGTGACGTCGCTGCTGCCGACCGTGGCAACCCCGGGGAAGAGGGCGAAGGTCATGAGGGGCTCAGGGAGGCACTTGAGGTACACCAGCAGCAGCTGCCCCACGTCTAGCGGACTGGTGTCTGGCGGGATGTCCGCATTGGGGTCTGGTAGGTGGGGGGACGAGGGAGGGGGAACCGGGGGACGGGGGAGTGGGGTGGGGGTTTGGCTCAAGATTGCTGGAAGGATGTACTGTGGGGGTAGACTTTTGAGTTGTTGAAAAGAAAGGATGTATGGCCTTGGGAATAATGGGGGCGAAGGTTATGAGAGGCTCGGGGAGGCACTTGAGGTACACCAGCAGCAGCTGCCCCACGTCCAGCGGGCTGGTGTCTGGAGGGATGTCCGCGTTGGGGTCTGATTTTGGAGAGGTGGAGTGGAGGGGAGAAGGAGAGAGGTGTGGGAGTTTGCTCGAAGTTGCTTGTAGAATAATTGCCTCCGGAATTGTGAGAGACTCAGGGGATTAAATAAGAGCCACGACGAACTTGTAGGAATTTTTGGTTCAGAGGGGAAAGCCTTTGTCTTGACAGGTTTTCCACACAATAGCCATCAGTTTTCGCTGACCAGCATTGAGATGACTTGCAGGTCAGTTCAGAGATTTCTTAACCGTGTCATTGCTCTCTTATTGGTCACACATGGCTCACCCATAGCTCACTCGTTGCTCACCAGTATCGAACATGTGCATGAGTCCTTTGACCACCCGCGAATCGTTCTCCGACTCGAATAAGTACTCCGTAACCAAGCCTGGTGGTAACCACACGCGTGCAACAGGAACAATGGACAAATGAGTATGTAACAACTGGAACGATATGAAGAAGTTTGTCAGAATGATGTCGCAGGTCCAAAGCTGGAAGAAAACGTCTCGAAAACTGGTGAAGATTGTAACACTTCAGCAAATGTGGGTATGTAGCATTGGTAAGAGCATGCAGCATGGCGCAACACACCATTCTGCAGGATGAAGTTGCAGCACTGGATGACCACGAAGGGCACGGCTGTGCCTTTGAGTCGACTCAAAAGCAGACTCATTACACGCGGTACTCACACGGGCATACAACGCAACACACCATTCTGCAGGATGAAGTTGCAGCACTGGATGACCACGAAGGGCACAACTGTGCCCCTCTGCCTGCTCGCAAATGCCTCCAGGGGCGTGCCGAACACTGCCAAAGGGTAAAAGGCGCACAGGGAGTAGCCAGATCACACAAAGCACTTTCAGGCGCCTTAAAAGGCCCTTCTAAAAAGGCCTCCGGGAGAATGTTTGATACTGGCTATGTGTCATGGGGCACGGAGAGTAGGCAGTTTACAGGGCAACGGGAACAGACATGGAAAGTAGTCAAGTCCAAAGGCGTGGTAGAGAGTGAGAAAGACGTGTAGAGAACAGCCGAAGGCAAAGGCAAAGAAGCGAGGCAAGAACAAAGGCAAAGGAGAGCCCTGGCAAAAATCAGAAGAGCGACTGATTCGCTGAAATTCTTCAAGAGGTGAGAAGGTGGAAGGTAGAACCAGAGTCAAAAGGTGGGTGGTAGTGGCAGTGACAGCAGAGCATGGGATGAAAGTGAGAAGTTGAAGCAAACAGGAGAATAAGCAAGCGTCACCTAGAGTGGCGTCACCTGGAGCTCCTGGCCGGCCCTGGCACAGACGAGAGTGCGTGTGTGACAAGTGCGGATGGTCGGGAGAGAGGGAGCGTGAAAAGAGAGAGAAAGAGAGAAATACAGAGAGTTAGAGACACAGGAAGCGACGTTTCGGAAATAGGGCGATTAGGAATTTGAGCGAGAAGAGAGGGAGACAGAACCAGGCAGACAACAGCAGGAACACGAGCAGAGCAGAGAGGATGCAAGCATGCATGTGCCCGTGCTTTTGAGTTTGGGACAGAGGGAGAGGAGCGGGGAGCAACGGAGAGGGGATTGGGGGTTGTGGGGGTGTGAGGGGGATGAGGAGAGGATGGGCACAGAGTGAGTGCTTACCCTCCGCCAGTCCACCTTCTGGAGGAGCCCCTTGCTTCTCTCCATGCCATTCGCCGTCAGCTGGGGTCATGGGAACAGGAGGACAAACACACACGCACGGGTGCATCATGCAATGAGCTAAGTTTCTGGAGGAGAATGCTGACAGTAAGAAGGGGTACAAGGAGATCGAGAGCGAGGTAGGAAAACCTGGGCAGCAACCGCAAAAAAAGCTACATTGTATGTCGAGAACGCTGAGAGCAGCGAGTTAGTGACAAGACTTGTCAGTCTGATTTGGATCATATTATCACGTGGATCTGCCGTAAAGGCACTTGTTCAGACATGCTTGAAGCTGGGCGTACTCTGAACTGAACTTCTTGCCTCAGCAATTTTAGCCTGAGAGAGAGTATCACTGCAAGGCCTATATCGCTGAAGCCCCGCTTTCCCACCTCTAAGACCTTTCCAGCCCTCCCATCTCCGATCCTTGACTCTCAAAGTCTCAGATTTTTTCCAGCGACATTATCCCCCTTCTGCAAACCTCGCATCTTAGAGACTCCCACCTGGACGATGTTCGTCTTTTCCGGGAACCCTCACCCCGTGTCAGCCGCCACGCGAGCCGTGGTTGCCACCCAGAGATCTCGTCGTACCTCAGTGAGCTGTTGACCCACGCGACTGGCCTTGACTTTCTCCGTCGTCTCCATCAGCCCCTGCTTCAGCATCGACCCCGTGTCAGCCGCCACGCGAGCCGTGGTTGCCACCCAGAGATCTCGTCGTACCTCAGTGAGCTGTTGACCCACGCGACTGGCCTTGACTTTCGCCGTCGTCTCCATCAGCCCCTGCTTCAGCATCGACCCCGTGTCAGCCGCCACGCGAGCCGTGGTTGCCACCCAGAGATCTCGTCGTACCTCAGTGAGCTGTTGACCGACGCGACTAGCCTTGACTCTCTCCCTCGTCAGCATTGACCCCGTGTCACGCGAGCGTGGTTACCACACGGAGAACTTTTCGTACCTCAGTGAGCTGTTGACCGACGCGACTGGCCTTGACTTTCTCCGTCGTCTCCATCAGCCCCTGCTTCAGCATCGACCCCGTGTCAGCCGCCACGCGAGCCGTCGTTTCCAGCCCGGCCTCCATTCTCGGAAGCACTTTCGTGTTCCAGCTCTCCTTGGTCGACTCCCACGTGGTGTGCATTCGCGTTTTCGCTCCCTCTGCTGCGACGGCTGCGCGAGTCGCCGCCTCTGCGACTTTCGGCTGCACGTTCTGCTGCCATGAGGTTTTCACCTTGGATCCTGCTTCGCCGGCAGCGCCTGCGACGGCTGATCCCGCTGCTTTCAGCTTGAAAGCTGTGAAAGAGTTTCCGATGTCCCGTGGGAAAGAGATAAGGAAGATTGAAAAGAGAAATGTATCTGCAACGAGCTGATGTCGTCAATACCAAGATTCGCTGCTCAGAGCAAGGTAGGAAGGTTGGTTGGACTTTGTGACCCAACCAAAGGTAGGAAGGATGAGGCAACTTCGGGAAACTTGAGACTCCGGTTTTAAAATACCGAGAAATAACTGAAAGGAATCGCGAATGCTTAACACGAAGCTTATGAAAGAACAATCCCAGGCGTTTCGCTTGATCCCATTTTAAGGATGCCGCTGACGATTTGTATGTGATCGTACCAATCGACATTATCCTCAAATGCGGGAATCACGGAGACTTACAGGAAGAGGAGATGAAAGCCCCAGCCTTTTCCCGCCAACCAGGAGCTTCTTGATCCGCCATCTGGCCTCGTGTCTAGAAACCAACCACCGTACAAGGAACCAAGCGACCGCTGTATTTCAGCGGACAAATCTCAAAACGGCTATATCACAGACGCCATTCGGATTTGTAAGCTAATTCGTCAGTACACGAACAGATCCGTTTTTGTGGGAGAGTTACAGAGTCTAAAAGCTGCTAGCATCAAAAGGAGGCCAGCAGTAGATATTCCTGCTAATCGCGCTAACGCAGTGAATGCAGCCGTGACTTGCAAAGTGGAGATGCTTACTCAACCTATGACCTTGCCAAAGGATTTGGAATCTGCAGAGACTAGAGAAGGGGAACGGAGAATCTCACACATAACATCAGAAGCTCGTTATCATCGCTGAAACAAAACCCCTCCAACCGTTCTTTAACACATAACATCGCACCGAACCGTATCATCGTGAACTCTTCCGACACCCCCACCAGCAAATGGACAAAAGTGGGTTGGTTGGTGAATGGGAAGCGGTGGAGATGGAATCGAGGAAAGGAATCTACGGCAGATGTGCTGGTTGGGAGACGCAGATGTGCGCTAGTGGAATTTGTTTGGACCCTGAAAGCATGGAGCTGATGCGTAATCTGAACGGTCCGTCCTCGAGATCTTCTGGGAAAGGGAGGAATCGACGAGCCCAAGGAGACCCTGTAACGAGCGCTAGCACCCAACAGAAATCCGTCAATGAAAAACAAACCAAGTCCTACATAAACCTTATATGCCCCATCATTTCTAAGGTGTAATCTGTTACCTTTTTTCACGTGTGAATAATCTCGAATTCAATCGGGGACAGCTCTTGTTGAATTCGCAGCGGGGCGAGTCACAGAGCGTTCGCCTCGAGAGCGCCGCTCATTTCGTTGTGTTGGTGTGTTTCTGAGAGCAGCTTGGTGGATGACGGTGTTTCTGTTCATGGATAAGTGAATAGTGGCTTCGTTAACGCTGATCGCTATTTTATTAACGACGGCGATTCGAATCCATCTCTGATCAGTAAATCGATCGTTGCTTAATAAGAAATCGAACCATCATGTTCGCAAGGCGCCCTTCGTGAGAATAAGCGTTGAAAAACTGGATCACGTGTCTCTAGTTGTTTCAACCTGTTCTGGATTTCTCACTGAATGGTACAATAGTCCCGACAATGGAACGCCGAATTCGCAAAGACCCCGGAGGTGCCGCTCTCACACCGGCATCATCTGATCTCCATCCGCGTGGAGAAAACGGAAACAACGATGACGCTAGTAAAATGAAAAAGGCAGCAGGTTCTGGAACCACGAGCAGCCATGGATGGATCTGGATGTCCATGCTGGCGACGCTGTACGGCCTGCAGCCTGTGATCATGCGGAAATGCCTAAGGTAGGATGTCCTTCCGCTCTTGACACGTGGCGAGTGGTGACCTCCTTGTCTTTCTATTGTTAGATCTGGATATCCACTCTGGGAATGCCATACGTTTTGCCCACACCATGTGACTATGTGTTTTGAGACGTCTCAAAATACGTTTTGCCCACACCATGTGACTATGTGAAGATGCCTCATTGGGTACTTGTCAGGTAGCTCCTGAGGCATTCACGTCGTATCGAGCTTGTCATGGAATGAACACACGAGTTGCCGCCTTGTATTGACTGAAACATCTGATTCTTCGTTCTTCTGATGTCCTACACACCCACAAGACAGTGCTGACGTCATCATCGTCAGCCAAGTTATGGCTGTCGACATCGCCAAGGTGGGATACGTAAAGTCCACTTCACTCTGATGCTTTCTCCTGAGCTTTCTCCTGTGCGTTCTCCTGTGCTTTCTCGTGCGCTTTCTCCATGCCATGTTTTGGTGCTGCGGTTCAGTTCAGCTCAGCGTTACAATATACAGTTCAGTTCAGTTCAGTTCAGCGTCAGCATCACTAACCCACGTCCATTGTCGCTTCCAATCTCCATACAGATCATCTGTTCGCTCGCTGTGGTGCTTCTTGACGGATCAGGCTGGCGGTTATGGCGCAGCTGGCGGATAAGGGAGTTTCTACAGGGCTCCATGGTGCCAGCGTTCGTGTACACGGTGCAGAACGTGCTTATCAACATCGCTTATCGCCACCTGCACCCAGTCACCTTCGCCATGCTGTCCCAGACGAAGCTTCTATTTACCGCGCTCTTCAACTTCATATTCCTCAGGTGATCTTCTTTCTGATGCCCTCTTCTTCCCCAGGTAAATTTCAGTCAGATCGCGCCAGCGAAAATGGCACTTATCCTTCCCATTTTCAGCAATGTTTCATAGTCAACAACAGGATTTCTGTCAAGATTTCCATTGAAATTCCTCAGATACTTAAGCAGGTGTTTCCTTCAAAATTTCAGGTGAAAATTCTTGAAGTGGCTCAAGTTCGTCCACCTTCCATCATGCTATCCTTACCTGCTACCGTTGATTTACTCACCGAATCCCTAAAGTGTTGGGTTTTGCAAGCGAATCTAATCAGCCATGTAAGAGGTAGTCGTGTATGGATTTAAAATACAGCTGCACTTCCAACGCATGCATTTCTCTCTGCAGGCAGAAGCAGTCTGGCCGGCAGGTGTTGGCCCTGCTCGCCATGCTCGTAGCAGCTGTGCTCCTCTCCATCGCCGACCATGTGCAGCTCTCCCTCTCCCTCTTTGGGGGCGAGGGAGCGGGCGAGGGAACGGCAGACGGAAAGGGAGGGAAGGAGGGAACAGGGAGCGGCAAGCCTAGTGCAGGTGGAGGAGGAGGGAGTGGAGGGTTAACGGAGAGTCTAGCAGCATCAGTGTTGTTTGGAGCGATTCCCATGCTGGCAGCATCTGTCACGTCTGGGTTCGGGTCCATGTACTGCCAGTGGGTCTCCCAGGTACGGCTTCTCAGCTTCTACCTCCTCCTCCTCCTAGCGTTTGTCCTCTTCGTTTTCTTTCTCCTATCCCTCCCTCCTATTCTTGTCTCGCTCTTATTCTTACAGTGAAGGCCCGACGTTCTCACCAAATGATGACTAAAGAAATCGTCATCTCGTTCTTGAACTGTTTCATCCTGTGCTATTCCCGCGGGACCTTGTCTGCCCCCATCTCCCTTCTGTATTCTTCTCCATCCTCTCGTGCTAGGTGAAGGGGCGCAGCTCCTACCTGATGACCATCGAGATGTCGTCATTCAACTTCTGCCTCCTCCCCGATTCTCTCTTTCTTTCTCAAACGGCCCTCCCTCTCAAACGGTCCTCCCTCTCTCTCTCTTCCCGTGTTCATGTCTCCCACAGGTGAAGGGCCGCAGCTCCTACTTGATGACCATCGAGATGTCGTCGTTCAGCTTCTGCCTCCTCCTCGCCTCTCTCCTGCTCGTTCCCTCATCACATGACGCAGTGCGCATTAGGCAGCTTGGCTTCTTCCACGCCTGGACCCTCCTCTCCATGGTACGTTCTGTTCAAATTGTTCCCAATACCTAATGGTGCTGCCTCCCGCTCCTCCTCGCCTCTCTCCTGCTCCTGCCATTATCACTTGACGCACCTCGGCTTCTTCCACGCCTGGACCCTCCTCTCCACGGTATGTTCTGTTCGAATTGTTCCCAATACCTAATGGTGCTGCCTCCCGCTCCTCCTCGCCTCTCTCCTGCTCCTGCCATTATCACTTGACGCACCTCGGCTTCTTCCACGCCTGGACCCTCCTCTCCACGGTATGTTCTGTTCGAATTGTTCCCAATACCTAATGGTGCTGCCTCCCGCTCCTCCTCGCCTCTCTCCTGCTCCTGCCATTATCACTTGACGCACCTCGGCTTCTTCCACGCCTGGACCCTCCTCTCCACGGTATGTTCTGTTCGAATTGTTCCCAATACCTAATGGTGCTGCCTCCCGCTCCTCCTCGCCTCTCTCCTGCTCCTGCCATTATCACTTGACGCACCTCGGCTTCTTCCACGCCTGGACCCTCCTCTCCACGGTATGTTCTGTTCGAATTGTTCCCAAGACCTAATGGTGCTGCCTCCCGCTCCTCCTCGCCTCTCTCCTGCTCCTGCCATTATCACTTGACGCACCTCGGCTTCTTCCACGCCTGGACCCTCCTCTCCACGGTATGTTCTGTTCGAATTGTTCCCAATACCTAATGGTGCTGCCTCCCGCTCCTCCTCGCCTCTCTCCTGCTCCTGCCATTATCACTTGACGCACCTCGGCTTCTTCCACGCCTGGACCCTCCTCTCCACGGTATGTTCTGTTCGAATTGTTCCCAATACCTAATGGTGCTGCCTCCCGCTCCTCCTCGCCTCTCTCCTGCTCCTGCCATTATCACTTGACGCACCTCGGCTTCTTCCACGCCTGGACCCTCCTCTCCACGGTACGTTCTGTTCGAATTGTTCCCAATACCTAATGGTGCTGCCTCCCGCTCCTCCTCGCCTCTCTCCTGCTCCTGCCATTATCACTTGACGCACCTCGGCTTCTTCCACGCCTGGACCCTCCTCTCCACGGTATGTTCTGTTCGAATTGTTCCCAATACCTAATGGTGCTGCCTCCCGCTCCTCCTCGCCTCTCTCCTGCTCCTGCCATTATCACTTGACGCACCTCGGCTTCTTCCACGCCTGGACCCTCCTCTCCACGGTATGTTCTGTTCGAATTGTTCCCAATACCTAATGGTGCTGCCTCCCGCTCCTCCTCGCCTCTCTCCTGCTCCTGCCATTATCACTTGACGCACCTCGGCTTCTTCCACGCCTGGACCCTCCTCTCCACGGTATGTTCTGTTCGAATTGTTCCCAATACCTAATGGTGCTGCCTCCCGCTCCTCCTCGCCTCTCTCCTGCTCCTGCCATTATCACTTGACGCACCTCGGCTTCTTCCACGCCTGGACCCTCCTCTCCACGGTACGTTCTGTTCGAATTGTTCCCAATACCTAATGGTGCTGCCTCCCGCTCCTCCTCGCCTCTCTCCTGCTCCTGCCATTATCACTTGACGCACCTCGGCTTCTTCCACGCCTGGACCCTCCTCTCCACGGTATGTTCTGTTCGAATTGTTCCCAATACCTAATGGTGCTGCCTCCCGCTCCTCCTCGCCTCTCTCCTGCTCCTGCCATTATCACTTGACGCACCTCGGCTTCTTCCACGCCTGGACCCTCCTCTCCACGGTACGTTCTGTTCGAATTGTTCCCAATACCTAATGGTGCTGCCTCCCGCTCCTCCTCGCCTCTCTCCTGCTCCTGCCATTATCACTTGACGCACCTCGGCTTCTTCCACGCCTGGACCCTCCTCTCCACGGTATGTTCTGTTCGAATTGCTCCCAATACCTAATGGTGCTGCCTCCCGCTCCTCCTCGCCTCTCTCCTGCTCCTGCCATTATCACTTGACGCACCTCGGCTTCTTCCACGCCTGGACCCTCCTCTCCACGGTATGTTCTGTTCGAATTGTTCCCAATACCTAATGGTGCTGCCTCCCGCTCCTCCTCGCCTCTCTCCTGCTCCTGCCATTATCACTTGACGCACCTCGGCTTCTTCCACGCCTGGACCCTCCTCTCCACGGTATGTTCTGTTCGAATTGTTCCCAATACCTAATGGTGCTGCCTCCCGCTCCTCCTCGCCTCTCTCCTGCTCCTGCCATTATCACTTGACGCACCTCGGCTTCTTCCACGCCTGGACCCTCCTCTCCACGGTACGTTCTGTTCGAATTGTTCCCAATACCTAATGGTGCTGCCTCCCGCTCCTCCTCGCCTCTCTCCTGCTCCTGCCATTATCACTTGACGCACCTCGGCTTCTTCCACGCCTGGACCCTCCTCTCCACGGTATGTTCTGTTCGAATTGTTCCCAATACCTAATGGTGCTGCCTCCCGCTCCTCCTCGCCTCTCTCCTGCTCCTGCCATTATCACTTGACGCACCTCGGCTTCTTCCACGCCTGGACCCTCCTCTCCACGGTATGTTCTGTTCGAATTGTTCCCAATACCTAATGGTGCTGCCTCCCGCTCCTCCTCGCCTCTCTCCTGCTCCTGCCATTATCACTTGACGCACCTCGGCTTCTTCCACGCCTGGACCCTCCTCTCCACGGTACGTTCTGTTCGAATTGTTCCCAATACCTAATGGTGCTGCCTCCCGCTCCTCCTCGCCTCTCTCCTGCTCCTGCCATTATCACTTGACGCACCTCGGCTTCTTCCACGCCTGGACCCTCCTCTCCACGGTATGTTCTGTTCGAATTGTTCCCAATACCTAATGGTGCTGCCTCCCGCTCCTCCTCGCCTCTCTCCTGCTCCTGCCATTATCACTTGACGCACCTCGGCTTCTTCCACGCCTGGACCCTCCTCTCCACGGTATGTTCTGTTCGAATTGTTCCCAATACCTAATGGTGCTGCCTCCCGCTCCTCCTCGCCTCTCTCCTGCTCCTGCCATTATCACTTGACGCACCTCGGCTTCTTCCACGCCTGGACCCTCCTCTCCACGGTACGTTCTGTTCGAATTGTTCCCAATACCTAATGGTGCTGCCTCCCGCTCCTCCTCGCCTCTCTCCTGCTCCTGCCATTATCACTTGACGCACCTCGGCTTCTTCCACGCCTGGACCCTCCTCTCCACGGTATGTTCTGTTCGAATTGTTCCCAATACCTAATGGTGCTGCCTCCCGCTCCTCCTCGCCTCTCTCCTGCTCCTGCCATTATCACTTGACGCACCTCGGCTTCTTCCACGCCTGGACCCTCCTCTCCACGGTATGTTCTGTTCGAATTGTTCCCAATACCTAATGGTGCTGCCTCCCGCTCCTCCTCGCCTCTCTCCTGCTCCTGCCATTATCACTTGACGCACCTCGGCTTCTTCCACGCCTGGACCCTCCTCTCCACGGTATGTTCTGTTCGAATTGTTCCCAATACCTAATGGTGCTGCCTCCCGCTCCTCCTCGCCTCTCTCCTGCTCCTGCCATTATCACTTGACGCACCTCGGCTTCTTCCACGCCTGGACCCTCCTCTCCACGGTACGTTCTGTTCGAATTGTTCCCAATACCTAATGGTGCTGCCTCCCGCTCCTCCTCGCCTCTCTCCTGCTCCTGCCATTATCACTTGACGCACCTCGGCTTCTTCCACGCCTGGACCCTCCTCTCCACGGTATGTTCTGTTCGAATTGTTCCCAATACCTAATGGTGCTGCCTCCCGCTCCTCCTCGCCTCTCTCCTGCTCCTGCCATTATCACTTGACGCACCTCGGCTTCTTCCACGCCTGGACCCTCCTCTCCACGGTACGTTCTGTTCGAATTGTTCCCAAGACCTAATGGTGCTGCCTCCCGCTCCTCCTCGCCTCTCTCCTGCTCCTGCCATTATCACTTGACGCACCTCGGCTTCTTCCACGCCTGGACCCTCCTCTCCACGGTATGTTCTGTTCGAATTGTTCCCAATACCTAATGGTGCTGCCTCCCGCTCCTCCTCGCCTCTCTCCTGCTCCTGCCATTATCACTTGACGCACCTCGGCTTCTTCCACGCCTGGACCCTCCTCTCCACGGTACGTTCTGTTCGAATTGTTCCCAATACCTAATGGTGCTGCCTCCCGCTCCTCCTCGCCTCTCTCCTGCTCCTGCCATTATCACTTGACGCACCTCGGCTTCTTCCACGCCTGGACCCTCCTCTCCACGGTATGTTCTGTTCGAATTGTTCCCAATACCTAATGGTGCTGCCTCCCGCTCCTCCTCGCCTCTCTCCTGCTCCTGCCATTATCACTTGACGCACCTCGGCTTCTTCCACGCCTGGACCCTCCTCTCCACGGTATGTTCTGTTCGAATTGTTCCCAATACCTAATGGTGCTGCCTCCCGCTCCTCCTCGCCTCTCTCCTGCTCCTGCCATTATCACTTGACGCACCTCGGCTTCTTCCACGCCTGGACCCTCCTCTCCACGGTATGTTCTGTTCGAATTGTTCCCAATACCTAATGGTGCTGCCTCCCGCTCCTCCTCGCCTCTCTCCTGCTCCTGCCATTATCACTTGACGCACCTCGGCTTCTTCCACGCCTGGACCCTCCTCTCCACGGTACGTTCTGTTCGAATTGTTCCCAATACCTAATGGTGCTGCCTCCCGCTCCTCCTCGCCTCTCTCCTGCTCCTGCCATTATCACTTGACGCACCTCGGCTTCTTCCACGCCTGGACCCTCCTCTCCACGGTATGTTCTGTTCGAATTGTTCCCAATACCTAATGGTGCTGCCTCCCGCTCCTCCTCGCCTCTCTCCTGCTCCTGCCATTATCACTTGACGCACCTCGGCTTCTTCCACGCCTGGACCCTCCTCTCCACGGTACGTTCTGTTCGAATTGTTCCCAAGACCTAATGGTGCTGCCTCCCGCTCCTCCTCGCCTCTCTCCTGCTCCTGCCATTATCACTTGACGCACCTCGGCTTCTTCCACGCCTGGACCCTCCTCTCCACGGTATGTTCTGTTCGAATTGTTCCCAATACCTAATGGTGCTGCCTCCCGCTCCTCCTCGCCTCTCTCCTGCTCCTGCCATTATCACTTGACGCACCTCGGCTTCTTCCACGCCTGGACCCTCCTCTCCACGGTACGTTCTGTTCGAATTGTTCCCAATACCTAATGGTGCTGCCTCCCGCTCCTCCTCGCCTCTCTCCTGCTCCTGCCATTATCACTTGACGCACCTCGGCTTCTTCCACGCCTGGACCCTCCTCTCCACGGTATGTTCTGTTCGAATTGTTCCCAATACCTAATGGTGCTGCCTCCCGCTCCTCCTCGCCTCTCTCCTGCTCCTGCCATTATCACTTGACGCACCTCGGCTTCTTCCACGCCTGGACCCTCCTCTCCACGGTATGTTCTGTTCGAATTGTTCCCAATACCTAATGGTGCTGCCTCCCGCTCCTCCTCGCCTCTCTCCTGCTCCTGCCATTATCACTTGACGCACCTCGGCTTCTTCCACGCCTGGACCCTCCTCTCCACGGTACGTTCTGTTCGAATTGTTCCCAATACCTAATGGTGCTGCCTCCCGCTCCTCCTCGCCTCTCTCCTGCTCCTGCCATTATCACTTGACGCACCTCGGCTTCTTCCACGCCTGGACCCTCCTCTCCACGGTATGTTCTGTTCGAATTGTTCCCAATACCTAATGGTGCTGCCTCCCGCTCCTCCTCGCCTCTCTCCTGCTCCTGCCATTATCACTTGACGCACCTCGGCTTCTTCCACGCCTGGACCCTCCTCTCCACGGTACGTTCTGTTCGAATTGTTCCCAAGACCTAATGGTGCTGCCTCCCGCTCCTCCTCGCCTCTCTCCTGCTCCTGCCATTATCACTTGACGCACCTCGGCTTCTTCCACGCCTGGACCCTCCTCTCCACGGTATGTTCTGTTCGAATTGTTCCCAATACCTAATGGTGCTGCCTCCCGCTCCTCCTCGCCTCTCTCCTGCTCCTGCCATTATCACTTGACGCACCTCGGCTTCTTCCACGCCTCTCAGCAGTACGTTCCATGGCCCATGCCATTGTGTTCCCGTAGCTCACTCCCATTTTCCAATATTTCCAGATTCTTACGAAGCCTGTTCCACATCGGGCTACCACTCTTGCTCGTGCCCGTGCTCGTCATGTTCACGTTCTCCTTCAAGTGGAGGCTACATGCTCTTCTTTCATCCAATATCCTTTTCTTCTTCAAAGGACTATGCTTCTTTTCCCCACGATTGTTGTCATTCATGCATATCCAACTCGCCTTCTCACATCTCTCGTGTGCAGGTGCCCATACTGACCAACGCGCTATCAGGCATCCTCGTGGGGGTGGTGGTGCAAATATCAGGGGGACTCAAGAAGGTATGTAAGACTAGCTGCATGAGTGTGTTCTGAGACGTCTCAGAACGGTTGATTTTGTGATAAACATAGCGTTGCTCATGACAGTTTTGAGACCTCTCAAAACTTCTCTCCCCTCTCAATTCGTTTCCCCCTCCCCCATTCTTCCCCTCCTCCATGCTCCAGGGCTTCGTGATGGTAATAGCGCTGCTGGTGACGGCAGCAGCTCCTTGAAGGGGAGCCTCCCCCGCTGCTGGTGTGGCTGGCGTTCCCCATGGTAGGGGCCAACAGCACTCCTTTCCTCCCTTATTCCCCTCCCCCCACCCTTTGTTTCCAGGGCTTCGTGATGATAATAGCGCTGCTGGTGACGGCAGCAGCACAGCTGTTCCTTGAAGGGGAGCATCCCCCTTTGCTGGTGTGGGTGGCGTTCCCATGGTAGTGGCTAGCTCTCACGTGCATGTTGCATACCCTTACTCCCCTTCCTTTATCCCCCCCAATCACCAGGGTTTCGTGATGATAATAGCGCTGCTGGTGACAGCAGCAGCCCAGCTTGAAGGGGAGCCTCCCCCGCTGCTGGTGTGGCCTTCCCCATGGTAGTGGCCAGCTCTCACGTGCATGCTGCATACCCTTACTCCCCTTCCCCATTCCCCTCGTCTTCAGGGTTTCGTGATGATAATAGCGCTGCTGGTGACGGCAGCAGCTCAGCTTCTCCTAGAAGGCGAGCCTCCCCCTCTTCTCGTGTGGGTGGCGTTCCCCATGGTAGTGGCGAGCACCCACATGCATGCTGCATACCCGTACTTGGAAAAGAAGGATTCGGATCGAAGGAAGGCAGAGTAGAGGATTCAATGCTTCCATGGTACCAACAGTTCTCTCCTCCATGGTTGTGATCTGATAGTGGCATCCCCCATGGTGGCATCCCCCATGGTCATAGTGGCCAGCACTCACGTGCATGCAGCGCCGGCATACCCATACATGGAGAGGAAGGGAACAGGTGGGGAGGAGGATTCAGATCAGGAGAAGACACACTAGAGGTGTCTCTCCTTCCCTGTTGGTATGGACAGTGTTCATTTCCATGGTAGTGCAGCTGGTGATCTTTCCCAGGGTAGATAGACACTGGTGGTGTTCTATAAATAGACCCTGATTCGCATTCATTATTTATTTACCTTGGTTGGACCATTGAATCTCTTGTGACCAACCAGCTCTTGCCTAGTTTGTCGTGCCCGTTGAAATCTCCGCACGCATAAAGTTTCTTGTTTTGAGCCTGTTTTTCTGCACCAGATTTCAGCAAAGCTAGACACCCAGTAAATCAACATCAAGTAATTTGCCAATGTACATATCAGGTAGCAGCAATGAAGCGGGCGCATTGCTTTGCGTAATCCCAAGACTGTCAGTCACACGGACTGTGACGGCTGAAAATCGGCGGCGGCGCGATCCGACGGCTAAGATAGGATGAATGCTTGATGGAACTGCTACTGGAGCAAGCACAGTTGAACGTTGCAACACGGGGATTTGTTTTCTGGAGTGCTCGAGCTGAGTATTCTTCTGCTCAGGTCATTGGGGGGGAGAGATGAGGGGTGAGAGAAAAAAGGGTGAGGGGTGAAGTGGCGAGATGCAGGGAGAGCGGAGGGAAGATGAGGGGTGAGTGAGGGGTAGATGCGGAGAGCGGGGTGAAGGGGGGAATGCAGCAGTGGGAGGTGGAGAAAAAAGGGAAGAAAGGAAATGAGGGGTGAACGGGGAAGAGGGAGGGGGGGGGTGGGGAGATGAGAGGAGAGCGGAGTGGAGATGAGTGGTAACAAGATGCGACAAAAGCGGGGAGGGAAAGGGGGGGGAGGAAACGAGGAAAGAGCGCGGGGCATTGAGCGATGGGGAGATGAGGTGTGAGCGGTAAGGATACGCAATGAGAGCGGGGAAAAGAGAGGGGAGGGGGAAGGGGGGGGGGAAGAGGAGGTGGGGCGGAGGGAGGGTAAGATGGGGAGAATTGAGTGAAGAACAGAGGAGACATGAGCGGTGAGTGGTAAGGAGATGAGATGGGGAATAGAGCTGGGGGGAAGGGGGGGGGGGGGGGGAGGGAGGGGGAAGATGGGGAGAAGTGAACTAAGAACAGAGGGGAGATTAGGGGTGAGCGGTAAGTAGATGGGGACGGAGCGGACGAGCGGGGGGAACGAGGGGAGAGCGGAAGAAGATGAAAAATGCCCTCCCCACCCAACCACACCCAACCGAAATCCCGCCACCCCCCCTCTTCTCTCCCCTCCCCCCTCCCCCGTTTCCCCCCCTCTCCCCCTCGCCCCCCAAACCTCCCTTACTGTTATCCTTTCCGTTTCTTACGTCTTGCGGCGTAACCGTCCGGTTCAGCAAGGTTCAATGTGCCTTGTCTTGATCACCTAAGATACTGACGTGTCCGCATGTAACTGCTAACGGATCTGTGTCTGCAATCAATACTGATTTTATGTCAGTCCGCCATTTAATCCGTCCGCCATTGAATCCGTCCGCAAACGAAAGTTCCTACTCAGGCCGCAATCCATAATCTGAACATAAATCATACTCTGGCTACAGTACGAACATCTTACGCACGAAAGTGGTGATACCCACTTGAAGCTACGCGGAGCGGCGAATATATATATACGGCTAATAAACGTGACAGACACTACCTACGGCGCCAAGCCCTACTTTACGCGTAGATCTGAGAAGCCACGCGGGATGAAAACCAGAGAAGCGATAATAAGCTTAGATTTAACAGCGATTGGAAACCTAGAAACTAGAAACGACGATAAAGAGAGGAGCATCACGGAAAAGTGACGGACAGTGACAAGTGACCAAACCACCCTCATTTTCTATTGGCTCACAGACTTCTAACCCAACCTCACCTCGTTATTTCAGCTGCCCGAACCTTGTTCACAAGCAGCGTTGTGGGTTGTGAGCAGCTAATCTTACTGACAGCTCAGCAGAAAAAAAAAGTTTATCGACCAGCTCCTTCCTACACCCTCCCCGCAGCTCACGCAAAATTAACCAAGAACTGCCACGTCAGATTTCTCCTAGGAACATTCATTCCTGCCCTTCCCCAAAGCAAAACCTAAGTAGAGTACACACACGATGACTCGTTATCAGAAGCACAAAGCAAACCAAACAAACCCTCTAGCTTATATTGAGAGTGATCCGACTGTTTAGGTTAGAGGTTGGATGTGATGTGCACCCTCTATACACATTTCAGTCGCCACAGCTTACCGCGGATACAACCCTCCAGAACCATCCATTCAATTCAAACTCTGGCACTTCTCCCCGCCTGCACTCTGGCACTTCTCCCCGCCTGCACTCTGGCAATTCTCCTCGCCTGCACTCTGGCACAGACGGAACTGCCGTGTCGCACCTCGCTGCAGCCAGCAACATATCGCATTTGAAACTGAGGCGTCTCTGCCGCGCGTGGCAGCCATGGTGGTTTAGAATATATTACTGCTTATAAAAAATATTCGTGAACAGAAATCAAGATTTATAAATACAAGTCATATACAACTTCATAAGCAAGCATCACTATGTGCTCAACTACTCCATCCGCAGAACCGCTGCGCTAGTCTTCAGCAACTCCATATGTCTTGTCACTTACCGTTGACCCTTCTTGGCCGCTAGAGGCAAATGCCTCTAGCGTTACACCCGAACACCGCGTTGAGGTGAGGGCCATTCGTTCGGGACCCTGTTTGGGAGGGGAGGGACGATAATTTCGGAAAGGAGGGACGATTAATTTGAGATGAGAACAAGGAGAACGACGCCTCAGGAAGAACGGCCGTTGAGGAGAGGGAAGAGGAGGAGGAGGTAAACGCAACCCACCCACCCACTAGCTCCCTTAATCTAACGCTCCTAATCGTCCTAGCTGATTCCTCCCGAGTGCCTGACAAAGGGAGGGGGAGCGGGGGAGGGGGAAGGAGTCAAACTCCAGCGCAGCTCCGCCGTTCCTTTTGCTCCGATGTCCGCCGATCCGCCAACCGCCGAGCGACGGGAGAAGCGTCGCCAACCGCCGAGCGAAGCGCCGTGCCAATCGCCGCGCGGTGGGAGAGGCGTCGCCAAGAGCCGCGCCAATGGCCGCTCCACCGAAGAAGAAACGCCGCCAGTCGCCGTGCGAAGCTCCAAAACGGGCCCTTCACTAACTGGATGAAGCAACGAGCACGGTCAGATCCGAATGATAAAAAAACCAAACAGAAAACAACAAAAACGAGAAAAACGACGACGAAAAAGAGAAGTGCCGTCATGCGACGAGACGCGTCGCCGAGAGCCGCACGAAGCGCCGCGCGACGAGAGAGGCGTCGCCAACCGCCGAGCGACGAGAGAAGCGTCGCCAACCGCCGAGCGACGGGAGAAGCGTCGCCAACCGCCGAGCGACGGGAGAAGCGTCGCCAACCGCCGAGCGAAGCGCCGTGCCAATCGCCGTGCGGTGGGAGAGGCGTCGCCAAGAGCCGCGCCAATGGCCGCTCCACCGAAGAAGAAACGCCGCCAGTCGCCGTGCGAAGCTCCAAAACGGGCCCTTCACTAACTGCATGAAGCAACGAGCACGGTCAGATCCGAATGATAAAAAAACCAAACAGAAAACAACAAAAACGAGAAAAACGACGACGAAAAAGAGAAGTGCCGTCATGCGACGAGACGCGTCGCCGAGAGCCGCACGAAGCGCCGCGCGACGAGAGAGGCGTCGCCAACCGCCGAGCGACGAGAGAAGCGTCGCCAACCGCCGAGCGACGGGAGAAGCGTCGCCAACCGCCGAGCGACGGGAGAAGCGTCGCCAACCGCCGAGCGAAGCGCCGTGCCAATTGCCGTGCGGTGGGAGAGGCGTCGCCAAGAGCCGCGCCAATGGCCGCTTCACGGAAGAAGAAACGCCGCCAGTCGCCGTGCGAAGCTCCAAAACGGGCCCTTCACTAACTGCATGAAGCAACGAGCACGGTCAGATCCGAAAGAGAACAAAGCGAAACAGAAAACAACAATAAACGAGAAAAAACGACGACGAAAATGAGAACTGCCGCCATGCGACGAGACGCGTCGCCGAGAGCCGCACGAAGCGCCGCGCGACGGGAGAAGCGTCGCCAACCGCCATGCGACGCCGCACCACGGAAGCGCCGTCAATCGCGGAAGCGCCGGAAGCATCGTCAATCGCCGAGTGAAGCTCCACCAACGGGCCGCTTCGCTTACTGCATGTATCAACTTACAAGGCTAGCCAAAACTTAGATATAAAGATCAACAAAACGAGGAACATTAAAGCGACGAAGAACAATAAAGCGACGAAGAACATTAAAAGCGGGTGTCTTACCAAGCTGAAACCGAAGCTCCACTAGCGACGGTCAAACCATCAAGCTGCCGTCGGCGCCGCCGTGTGAAGCGTCAAGGTCGCCTCGCCGTCTCAATGCGTGAGCAAGAAGAAGGGAACACTGAACTTACCCGAGATGAGCGGCGAGATGAGCTGAAGCGAGGTGACGACGTTAAAGCGAGAAGGAAAGAGGTAAACTGAACTTACCTCCACGAGAGTTTTGATTGACGATTACACGGGGGGAGTGTTGATTGAAGACCACACGGGATGAAGGCCCACACGGGATGAAGAAGGCCCACACGGGATGAAGAAGGCCCACACGGGATGAAGGCCCACACGGGATGAAGGCCCACACGGGATGAAGGCCCACACGGGATGAAGGCCCACACGGGATGAAGGCCCACACGGGATGAAGGCCCACACGGGATGAAGGCCCACACGGGATGAAGGCCCACACGGGATGAAGAAGGCCCACACGGGATGAAGGCCCACACGGGATGAAGAAGGCCCACACGGGATGAAGGCCCACACGGGATGAAGAAGGCCCACACGGGATGAAGGCCCACACGGGATGAAGAAGGCCCACACGGGATGAAGAAGGACCACACGGGATGAAGAAGGCCCACACGGGATGAAGAAGGCCCACACGGGATGAAGAAGGCCCACACGGGATGAAGAAGGCCCACACGGGATGAAGAAGGCCCACACGGGATGAAGAAGGCCCACACGGGATGAAGAAGGCCCACACGGGATGAAGAAGGCCCACACGGGATGAAGAAGGCCCACACGGGATGAAGAAGGCCCACACGGGATGAAGAAGGCCCACACGGGGGAGTCTTGAGAAGATCACACGGGGGAGGGAGTCTTGAGTGCAGCTCAAGCTGCAGTGGCGTTTTTAACGGGTGTTCTCGCGGTGAAAGACCAGGCCGCGAGAACCTCGGCGTCGTACAAGGATCAGCTCGAGGCAGCGCAGCTTTACGACTCTCTAAGCTACCCAACCCATCCCACCCAGCTGCAGCATGCCAAGCGCTTCCTCTTGTACGAGCCGGTTGGCTTCATTAATCACAAACTGCTCCTTGGAGCTTGTAGCCTAAAGTCCGTATATGGTAGGAGAAGTTCTTGTGAAGATCCTTCAAGTGGAATCGCGAAGGATAAATATGAAAATGGACTCCATTGATGGTACTTGACTGTGTTTTGGTTGGGAGGTATGGGATGCTCGCTGTGAGCGAACAGGCTGCAGGAGAAGCTGTTTCAGGTGCTCAAGAATCAAGTCAGGCAGGAGATGCAGCAATGAACTCGATTCGAGCATGGTGTTGGGCGCAGGCCGCCCCGCGCGACAGAAGCGCGCCTTCAGTTCGAAAAGTGATGTGCTGCTGGGTGCAGTGGGGTGCGACACGGCAGCTCTTTCAGTGGAGGATTGATTGAACAAGTCGAGAGCAGAAAGCTTGCGGAAGGAAACAGAGGAGATGAGTCAGAGGGATTGTGTTTGGCGCAGGCCGCCGCGCGTGGCAGAACGCGCGTCCTGTTTGATTTTGATGCGTTGCTGCTGGTTGCGGCGGGGTGCGATACGGCAGGTTATCCTGGGCCAGAGTGTGGGAAGTGTTGGCATTGGCTGGTTGGATTTACTCGATGGTGGTGGAGATATCTAGTTGCTATCAACGGTGGGGATTTTCGAGATTGGGATGGTACAGTTCATGATGACTGTACTGTGGGCCCACATAGATACTGTAATGTCAGTGAGGCGGCTGAAATTGGTTCTGCTATGCACACGCGCAACTCGATTGCAGCACAATCTGAACAGTGTCAAGTTCACATGTACAGCTCACTGCTCTGCACATGTAGAGTTTACTGCTCAGTTATTACATGTTGAGTTTGAATTCTTTGTGTTGCTGCAATCGAAACGTCTCAAGGCGCGTATCATCAACACACAGGTTTGTGCACATTTGTGGCTGGGACAGCTAGGAACTTTCTAGGAGGAGGCTGACGTGACGCGCAAATAGTTTAGTTTTGCGTGAGGTGCGGGGATGGTGTAGTTTTGGGGCGAAATTTATCTTTGGCTGGAATTTTGCGAAGTTGGCTGCTGTAGCAACCCGCTTGGCTGCCTGTGTGAACCAGGTTCGGGCAGCTGAAATAGCGAGGCTTGGTTGGGATAAAAAGGCACGCGAGCCAATAGATATCGCGGGTGCTTCCGTCAGTCACACAACCACCCACCATCCCAGCAGCTCTCGCTCGGACCTATCTGCAGTTCTGTGAAACACCTTTCCGTTCAGTTCAGTTTTTACTTTTCCAGCATATCATTTTAGTCTGCTAGATCTAAGCGCTTCTTGGTTTACAACTCGCATGGCTTCCCAGATCGCGCAAGTTAAGACTTAGCACCGCAGATAGTGCCAGTTGCGCTTATTTAGCCGTAGTCTGATAGTAGGCGCTTCACGTAGTGAAGTACGACTTGCCATTTGCGTGCTGCAGATGTTCGTACAGTAGTAGCCAGTAGTACGACTTTTTTTGGTGGATGAATTGCGGCCCGAATTGTAACGTTCATTTGCGGTTGGATTAGAGCGTCGATTTTCGGGCACATTAAGACCATTTGCGCACACATTATTAGTATCGATTTGCATCTTGCTAATTCCGTAAATATGTGAGCACTTACCATGCGGACGGATTTGATAGTTTTGGTTCGTAGGCGCGTGAATAGCGTAGGTATTGCCTCCTGTTTAATGTCCTTAGGCGATTAAGCGAAGGCACACTTATTTGGATCGCTTTTTTGCCAAGGCAGTAAAGAAAGGGAAAGGAGAAAGGTAAGCGGGGTTGGTGGGATGCAGGGGAGGGTGGAAAAGGACATCGTTCATCTCTCCCCGCTCTCCCCTCGTCCCTCCCTCCCCCCGCCACCCCCCCCCCCCCCCCCCCCCCCTCCCCAACCCCGCTCCCCCCTCATCTTTCCGCGCTCCCCCTCATCTTTCCCCCCCGCTCCCCTCGCCCCCCTTCGCTCTTCCCTCACCGCTCCCCCTCACCCCCCCCCCCGCTCTTCCCTCATCTTCCCCGGCCCTCCGCTCGTCTTCCCACCGCTCCCCTCTTCTCGTCTCCCACTCACGCTCATCACCTTCTTCTCACCCATCATCCTCTTCCCTCCTCCTCCTCACCACTACTACTTTCATGTCTCCTGTATGAAGAAGTGTTTTGAGACGTCTCAAAACACTTCTCCGTACACGTGGCCATCCTCTTTCCCCCTCCTCCTCACCAACACTACTCTCATGTCTCCTGCTTTCTTCCGCTCTCCCCTGCTCTCCTCCGCTCTCCCTTCATTTCTCCTTTTCCCCCTCACTCACCCCTCATTCCCCACTCACCCACCCCTCATTCCCCCCTCACTCATCCCTTTTCCCCCCTCATTTACCCCACGTTTATCCCTCTCCCTCATCCTCCTTTGTCCCCAATCCGCCTTCCTCCCCCCCCCCCCGGTCATCTCCACACCCCTGGTCACTCCTCATTTTCTCATCCCTCATCCCTCATCCCTCATCCCTCATCCCTCCCCCCTCCAGCAACTTACCTCTCATCTCTCCCACACCTACCCCTCACTGTTCCACTGCCTTACACCTCCCTCTCAGCTTCACATACCCATTCCCTGTCAACTCCAGGCCTGGTCACCCCCCTCATTTTCTCATCCCTCATCCCTCCCCTCCAGCAGCTTACCTCACATCACACTTACCCCCTACTGTTCCACTGCCTTACATCTCCCTTTGCCGCTGCCTGTATGTTCCCTCAACCTCCCTCTACCTTCAGTACCCACCCAAGCTCCTCCTGGCCTACCCACATCTGACACTGACTTGTTTTTGTTATCGCCTTTGTGACTTGCCTTTGTGAATTGCCTCTGTGAATGCCCTTTGTGACTTGCACAGGAGGAGGCGATTCTTCTCGTTTGCCTTGTTACTGGTATTGATTGCTTCGGTAGTCAAGCCCTTAGATCCCTGCCATGCCGGTAGATCGCTTCTGTATTGCTTTCTCTCATGTTTACCTTACCGATTTTCATACAATGGTCGCTTTGACTATACCGAGGAAGCCAGTAGAGTACCTTGGTATGGTAATACCGGAATACGGTAACGGTAAGAGTTTGGCGATAAGGCAATAATAGCATAATTCTACAGTAGTAGTACAGTAGCATTAATATGGAAGCGGTACAGCAACATGAGAGCATGAAACAAGGCAGCGAAGCAGCTCGCCAACCACGGTGCAAGTCAACAGAGAGTTAAACAGTGAGTCAATAGTGAGAAAGTCATCCCAGTGCAAAGAAAGGGTGAGCAGAATAAGGCAATACAAGAATGTGCTACCCACCCACCCATAGCTACCTACCCACTCTCGGGCAGGCCTCTGGATAGGATTTGGGGTACTCTTTCTCGTAAGGCCAACACCCAGCTTTCACTCTTTCAGTAAGGGTGCTTCACAAAAACTGCTCTTAAATATCAGCGTGCAAAATAATAAAAACTATGGCCTAGTATTTTAAATGTCTGAAATACGCAGGATGTTAGTGTTCCAGTGTGTTGAAAAGTGATAGTTATGCGAAAAGCCTAAGTTAGATACTCAGCGCGAGCATCTGACCCGCAGAACATGTTTTACGCGATTAATCTTAGTATCCTCTTTTAGATCGAACTCGATTTCATTACTGCTACTACACCACATAGCTCTGAAATATCAGTGTCGTATAATCGATCACTTTTTTTTGTAAGGGTCTAAAACAAAACCAGTCTTGTAAAAAATGGTGCATGGTCAAACCCACCCTTATAGTAAGTGTCATAAGGGTGAATCACCCTGATATCGAGAGGCCTGCTCTCGGGCCCATCATCAGTGACGGGTATTGCTCGAGAGCTGGTGCTGGAAAAGCTGCCCAAAAAACTTCCAATGTGCCCTAAAAACTCCCAGAAATAGACTGGAGAGAGCTAGTTCTGGCTCTTGCTGCGGGGAAACCTGGTGGGTGAAGAGACGGCAGTGCTGGTTTCCTCTTGTGCCAGCAGCAGGGAGAAGCTGAGGGGAGGGAGAGAAACACTCGAGACCAGTTCCCTTTCCCCCTCTACCATCTCCCCTTCCCCTCCTTCCGAGTCGCTACCACATGCGAGCACACGCTCAGTAGAGTAACCTGGTGCTGCATACCCATGTTTACTTCTAGATTGATTAGTGCCCACTGCCATGTCACGAGGAGCAGTTGCCAGGTCAGAAGCAGCAGCAGCAACAGCGGCTGCCACATCAGCGAACATCAGAACGTCCACCTCATCATTGAAGCGCACACGGGAGGGCGTTCGGCGCCCGTCAGAAGTTGGAGTGGGGGGGTAACTTGGAGTGTGAGTGTTGTCACGGCTGTTAGAGGTTGGAGTGGCTGGGTAATGTGAGGCGTGAGTGTTGTCATGGCTGTTGGCTGACAGACTGAGAGACTTGCGGAGGTTGCGGCGGCGGGTAGTGGGACCGGAAGCGCGGATACGAGACGAGATTTCAGTCGAATCAACAGCGGGATGCAGGTCATACGCGGGGGATTGGGTATCAGTTGCGGCGGGATGGCCGCCGCGGTTGTCAAATGTCATACTCAGGGACTTGCGGTGCCTTCTGCCTGCGACGGGAGTGGCATGGCGGCTCTCACGAGATTGGCCTGGCTTTAAGTCGTAAGGCTGGCTCTCATAAGGTTGGCTGTCAAGTGTCATACTCAGGGACTTGCGGTGGGTGCGACGGGGCGTGGGACAGCTGTGCGACGAGCTTCGTGGCGACGAGCTTCGTGGCGACTTCACAGGGCGATTGAAGGAGGGAGAGTCATTTGTGGGAGAGGGAGGGTTGCTTGCGGTGGGAGCGGCACTGTGCGACGAGTTTCGTGCCGACTGGCTGGCTCTCAGGGACTTTACAGGGCGATCGAAGGAGGGAGAGTCATTTGTGGGAGAGGGAGGGTCATTTGTGGCGAGAGTGGTGCCGCGGCTGTCAAATGTCATACTCAGGGACTTGCGGTGCTTTCTGCTTGCAGCAGGAGCGGCACAAGAGGTGCCACGAGACGGGGTTTGGCCCGAGTCAGAATTCTTGCGGCTGTCAGGCGTGGAGGAAGTGTAAGGGTCGATCGGGGCGGGACGGCTGCTGCTGTCGAATGTCATGCTCAGGGACTTGCGGTGCTTTCTGCTATGATCCCCACCACTGCTGTGAGATGAGTTTCGAGTCAGCTTGTAAGGGGGATGGAGGTCAGGCGTGGGAGGGAGAGGATTGCGTGCAGTGGAAGCGGAGCCATGGTTGTCAAATGTCATACTCAGGGACTTGCGGTGGGTGCGACGGGCGCCGGCGCCGGCGCCGGCGGTGGTGGTGGTGGTGGTGGTGCTGGTGGTGCTGGTGGCACTGCTGCTTCTTCTGGTGGTGCTGGTGATGCCGGTTCTGCTGCTGCTGCTGCTGCTGCTGCTGCTGCTGCTGCTGCTGCTGCTGCTGCTGCTGCTGCTGCTGCTGCTGCCAATGCGCTGTCCTGTCCCCTTGCTGCTACCAGCCCTGTTCCCACCGCGGCCGCCTTGTTGCTGCTGCAGATGCTGCTGCTGCTGGTTCTGCCAGTGTTGCGGTGGTTTGCTCTCCTCAGATTGACTACGACAAATCCGCATCCCTCGTCCACTTCCACTCGCTTTCATCCGCCTCTCCAACCCCTCTCCACCCCTCTCACTGCGAACAACACTGTTCGCACCACGACCTCCCCTCTGCTGCTGCTGCTGCTGCAACTGCTGCTGCTGCTGCTGTGGCTGCCGCCAGTGATGAGGCCGATTGCTCTCCTCAGACTGACTGCGACAAATCCGTATCCCTTTTCCACTCCCACTCTCTTCCATCCATCTTCCCAACCCCTCTTTTCCCCTTTTGCTTCTTACCACTGTCCGAGGCATTGCAAAACGTTCCTCCTCTTCCTCCCTCCACTCCCTCCACTCCTCCACTTCCTCCCTCCCCTCCCTCCACTCCTCCACTCCCTCCCTCCCCTCCCTCCCCTCCCTCCACTCCTCCTCTTCCTCCTCATCTTTGAGTGGCTCATAGGAATCGTCAAAATGCATGCCCACACCCAACTGGGGGTATTTGACAGGGTTAATCGAATAAGTGCCCGTTTCCAGTAAGTATGCGGCGGGGTTAATCTCAGACGTACCCAAATCAAACGGGTAATTCTGCTGGTTAGTCTAAGGGGAAAGGGGAGTGGAAACGGGAAGCGGGAGGCAGTCAGAGGGCCGCACGCTTTTCTGATGCGACTTTTGAGGCGCCTCAAAAGGAGCAGAAGCGGGGAGCGGACGCCAGTCAGAGGGCCGCACGCTTTTCTGGTGCGACTTTTGAGGCGCCTCAAAAGGAGCAGAAGCGGGAAGCGGGAGGCAGTCAGAGGGTCGAACACTTCTCTGCTGCTCCAGTAACAGGCATCCACTGTTGCCGCTGGTAACCTGGTTACCGCCACTGTTGACATTGCCATTTGCGCTGCTGCTGCTATTGATTGTAATCTGGCTGCTACAAATGCTGCTGCTACTGCTGCTGTCACTCTGGCAGTAGCACTCTCTGCGCTCTCTATTCTCGCCAACAACCGAACGACCAGCAGTATCAGCAGCAGCAGCAGCAGCAGCAGCAGCAGCAGCAGCAGCAGCAGCAGCAGCACCACGACCACCCTCCCGATCTTTCTCCCTTTCCTTCTCTCGTTCCTGCCTCTGTTGCCCATTCCCTTCGTTATAGTCACCACCCCCCTCCCACCCTCTGCTGCTCCTCCAAGGCTGTGTATTGGCTCGCTTCAGTATCCCTGCTTTAGGAGACTTGGAAGCCGAAGACTTGTATCGAATCGCTCTGTATGAGGTGTAAGGTTCAGCTGCACCTGTAATATACTTCTGCTGCTGCTGCTCCTGCTGCTGCTGCTGCACGCTGTGATTATAACGGGAGTGGGAATGTCGCGGCGATAAGTGCATATAACGAAGGCCGTCCGTAGAACTAGCTTGCACACCTGGGATGGATACAAATGGGGGCTGTGGCATCGCCATTGGCACATCTCCTGCCCCATCAAACGAGCTTGTAGCAGTAGCGGATGTGCTTGTAACGAATGGCCTTGGGTCTGTATTATGTCTGACCAATGCTGGGCTTGCATGGAGGAAGAGGGGGGGAGGGGAGGGGCGACGAAGTTTGGCTGCTGCATTCAATGTGCTTGTATCGACAAATGTGCTTGTAGTGACGGATGTGCTTGTATCGAATGGTGCTGTGTCTGCTGTGTTTCGCACCCCTGCTGAGTTTGCATTGAGGAGGAGGGGCGGAGGGGAGGGGCGACGGATTCTGGCTGCTGCTCGTGCGGCGATTGCAGCAGCTGATTCAAAAGATGAAGTGGGAAACTCAGAGGTGGGAGACCGAACCCTAGGCGCATCAACTAGTGCAACTGCTCGTGCGGCAATTGCAGCAGCAGACTCGGACGAAGCAGAGGGAGACGAGGAGAAATGAAGAAAACGAAGGAGACGCGGAGACAAAGGAAGAAAAGGAGGGGGACGCGGAGACAGGAAGTGGAACTCTAGGCGCCTCAGAAACTGCTGCTGCTCGCGCGGCAATTGCAGCAGCAGACTCAAGAGATGAGGAGGGAATCGCGGAGACAAAGGAAGAAAAAGAGGGAGACGCGGAGACAGGAGGTGGAAGGATAGGCGCCTCAGAAACTGATTCTCTTTGGCCCACCACTGCAGCAGAAAACCGCTCAAGTGCACACGCCTGCCCCTGCCTCTGCCGCTTCCCCTCCCCCTGCCCCATCAGCAGCAGCTGCATGTGCTGCTGTGCCAACTGTTGCTGCCCCCCATTCGAGGTTTGAGACGTCTCAAAAATTTCCTGCCCCTGCCCCTGCCCCTGCCCCTGCCCCTGCCCCTGCCCCTGCCCCTGCCCCTGCCCCTGCCCCTGCCCCTGCCCCTGCCCCTGCCCCTGCCCCTGCCCCTGCCCCTGCCCCTGCCCCTGCCGCTTCCCCTCCCCCTGCCCCATCAGCAGCAGCTGCATGTGCTGTTGTGCCCGCTCTTGCTGACCCTGCTGCCCCCCATGCTGCTGCTGTTTTTTCGCGTGCTGCCATTGCCATGCCTGCAGCTCTGCCTGTCCGTACTGCTGCCGGTTCCTATCTCTCCTTTCATAAATCGAACTCACAGAACGCCGGGGAGAGGGAGCCTTCTGAGTCGACTCAAAGGCTACCTCTGCCTGTCCGTACTGCTGCCGGCTTCTGTCTCTGCTCTCGTGAATAGAGCTCACAGACCTCTGAGGGTTTGGGGACTTCTGAGATGACTCAAAGGCTACCTCTGCCTGTCCGTACTGCTGCCGGCTTCTGTCTCTGCTCTCGTGAATAGAGCTCACAGACCTCTGAGGGTTTGGGGACTTCTGAGATGACTCAAAGGCTACCTCTGCCTGTCCGTACTGCTGCCTGATTCTGTCTCTGCTCTCGTGAATTGAACTGACCGACTGCTGAGGTGAGGACAGTGTTTTTCGCAACTCAGAAACCTCCTCTGCCTGTCCGTACTGCTGCCGGCTTCTATTCCTGCTCTCATGAATCGAGGTCACGGCCCTTTGAGGGTAGGAGAGTGCTTTATGCGACTCAAACCCCTCCTCTTCCTGTCCGTACTGCTGCCGGCTTCCGTCTCTGCTCTCATGAATCGAACTGACAGAGCGCTGAGGGGAGGGAAGCCTTTGACGCGACTCAAAAGCCACCTCTGCCTGCCGGTGCTGCTGCCAATTATTCTCTCTGCTCTCGTGAATCGAGGTCACTGACCGTCGAGGGGAACGAGGTGGTCGGGATTGCACCAACGCCTGCTGCTGCTGCTGCTGTTGCCACACTCCCTGCTGCCATTGCACCTGTTGCATGTGTCCCTGCTGCTGCTGCTGCTGCCAGTCCGAGCGTGTTCCCCTCCGCCTATCTCCCTCGTTGCTCTCGCCAGCGGAGGAGGGGGTAGTGCGAACAAAAGCCAAGCATCAGGCCTACCTATCTCCCTAGTAACTTGGTCTAATATCGCGTATGCGTACCTGCACTAGTAGCGTCGCACACGGCCAGCCACGCGTAGATTTCTTCCAGCCTGCCCGGCATGATCTCGGGCAGCTCATCCAAATCGTTCACTAGATGCGCCATGGGATCCCCTCCGCCAATCGCAACCACCACCCACGCCAACCCCTCCTCTCGCACCACCGGAATCGCACCAATCGGCTTCACCGTATGCACCTGCCCGAGTTTCGCGGGCTGACGGGAAAGATCCAAAACTTCCACCGCAGTTCCGCATCCCGAAACGCCGCCAAAATCGTCCTCTCCCTCTTCGGGATCCTGCCACGTCTGCGGGAGCGCGCCGATGTGCCACGGCGCGTTGCGAGCGAAGTGCGACGGTTCGCCGTTTCGCGAGTTCGGGGTAACGCGTAAAGGCGTGTATTCTTCCGGTGCGAAATCGTGTTTCGCCCACGTCCCTCGCGGCGTCGTGCAAACGAAATTCAGCAACGTGTTTTTCCCGTACAGGGGGATATTATGCCATGGTGACACGATTCGACTGTCCTTATCCAAAAACATCATCCTAAAAGCTAGCGACCCCGGGGAACCGAACTGAACCGCGTGGCCTTCTCCATCCGTCTCGCCCCACGGGACGTCCGGAAGTTGCGGCTGCTGATGCGTTTCGGAGTCATTCTCGCGATCCAGAAAGCTACTGAAAGCAGAGTCATCATTATGATCGTCACAAAGAGACCTGCTTGTCGGGAATATCAAATCTCCCTCATTCAGCACGATCGGATCCGCGCCGCGTTGCCCTAAGAGCGGTACGGCTGCCGCATTTGACGGTGATCGTGCAGGCGCCAACACGGGGAGTGAGTTGAGTCGAACCGGCGGCGGACGGGTTTCGTTCTGCTTTCTGTTCGGTGGCTGCCCGAACTGTGTCCACGTGGCCTTCTCCCTCTGCGGCGCGACTCGGCTACTACTGGAAGTGAACGACCGCTGCCACATGGCGTCTATTGAGCGGCGCGCAGCGCGTTCGCGCAGCGCCCGCGTGAGTCTTAAATGTCACCTCGACGACCAGAAATGAACGGCTGCCGCATGTTACCCCCAGCGCGTTTGCCGTGTTTCGCGCATGGCGACCGCGCCGATACGGCGCCTGACTCAGGTGACGTATCTCGTGTGCAAGCTACATCGGACAGACTCCCGCGACGGCAAAAAGGTATGCAGCGTGCGCCGCCTACCGACTACCCTGCGAGTAATACGAGCTACGAAGAGACCTCAGGCTGAGTCACGAAGATCTCCGGCGGAGGCTTTGCGAAAGTCGCGGGCCGTGAATGAGTCCGACTCACGTCACAAGAGACCGTGAATAGCGGTGACACTGACACTGAAAGGCTTCGAGGACTTCACGGGGCCGTGAAGGAGTCACGGTGATGGCGACGCGTCATACGTATCACAGGTATCGTCCGTGATACCGCGGGTACTACACGCGCTTCCGCGAAAGTCTTACCGATGAGATTTTTAAGAAATCAAAGAATTAGTAGCGTATGTGAGAGGCAGAACCCTGATTGTGGAATGTTGAGATTGATATATTTTTGAGGAAAACTCTCACAAGCTCTGTCACAGGATGTTCACGCCGCAAAGCATCTGACAATTCCACAAACTTTGCAAACGCTCCTTTTCGACTGTCAGTAGAGCAACTTTTTGAAAAAGGGGGGACCTTCCAGCACGAATACGATCAGAAACGCATCACCTGGCTGGGGTAGGAAGGAAGGCGAAGGGAGGAGTGGGCAGTGAGGGCGTGAGGCAGACGCTGTTCACAAACGAGACTGCTCGTTCAAGCGTGATAAATCACTCAACCGCGGGACATGTTATACACCCTCTTTCTCGCCAGACTAACAATGGGAAACACTGGCTACAGTGCGTACTGTTGCTTGGACCCTAGCGATCTGGTGCTTGCAACCGAACCCCAGGTTGGTGGCGGGCATATCCACTCCAGAGGAACGGTACACAACGTTTTATGGAAGAAAACTTGCTTTTGCGTACGGTTGAGTGCCGCAAATGTGCTTATATGGTATATTCTGGGACCATTCTGGACGCATTGATGTCAGTACAGCCGGTCCGTCAATATGGCCAATGACAGTGTGGCGGGAAAGAGGGTGTACGTTATCAGACCCTATTACATTCAACCGAAGGCTTGAAAGATTTGTGGGCTCAAGGGGCAGATGAGAAACCGAAGCGAAATGTACAGTACACTGATGTCTGTCTTGACGCTTGTGAATCATGTGAGGATGCAAGTTGGGCATTCGCCTGTATGTTGACCTGACCGAGCGTTAGATACGACGAATCGCACAGGTGAAGTTAAATTTCCCCACTGAACTGCCAATCTTTTTAGCCTGTTATGCCTTTCATTTATCCCCATTCTGCACTCCATTGACCTGTATTTCGAAATTTAGTCATTTTTCTCTCAGTACACCCTGATGTGTGGGGAGAACGAGTCGAGCTGGAGGACAGAGACACCTCCCAACAACATTTTTTTATTCGTAGCTAACGCTCGTTGTTGGGTCTGGTCTCGCGACGCGCAACAAAGCGTCACACGCAACGCAATGTTCAAAGTCGCCAGAACCGACAACATGACCAAATGTTCATTGCACTGCCACAGGCAGCACAGTCGAACACGCGGTATGTGTTGAGAATGTGAAATCTTGATAATGTAAGATCTACCGTTCTTCAAACACCTAAACATGTTTATGCTTACATTCTTTGCTACCTAATGGCCTTTTGTAACATATCATTAACCACACTATGGATGTAATTTCAGCCATACTCCATGATCCATGAACCAGTCTATGGTGAGAAATATTCGTTTGTGATTGGGACTGTACAGTTACCGAGGCCCTTGTTCGCGACCATCCGCATGTTTTCAGCACACGTAGCTCCTAGAATATACTTTTACTGGGATATCAGAGCGCGTTTCTGGGCGCACACTAGGAGGACTTTCTGACACAAGGCGTTTTATAGAGAGGATTTGCGACGTCGGCAGCAGCGATAACGGGCTTTTGTTTCGGGCCATCCGCGCGCTTGACTATGTCGCTCATTAATCCGTTATGTTCAGACGCGTTGCTTCGTATTAGGAAGTAGAAATCTCAAGCCGCAGCATTTCAATTCGAACGCTCTTCATCAGTCCGAGCGGTTCGCTCGTTGCCCGCATTCCCAGATATTCGTCCCAGCGCCATTCGCGCCTGCTGCTGCTGGGATGGAGTGCGTGGTTCAGGGAATCATCGAGAGTAAGGTGCGTGGCTCAAGAAATGATTGAGATGCATGTAGTTGACTCCCTATCTCCCGCCTCCTATTCAACCCTCTCGCTCTCCCTCCCCCCACACCTGCTCTCTCCCCCTCCCATCCACCCTCTCCCTCTTTCCCGCCCTCCTTTTCCATCCCATCCCCCCACCAGCATGTGCGTGCACTGGTGGAGCTTATAGAGGGGATGACAGGCGCCAGAGAGGAGAAGCTGGATCTACACCAGTTAGTGTACAGAAACGCACCCAATATAGGTACAGTATGAAGAATGAGTGTACATTCCCCATGCATCATGTGCACGCACTGGTGGAGCTTATAGAGGGAATGACGGGGGCCAGGGAGGCATAGTTGGAGCTTATAGTGTACAGAAACACACACAATATAGGTACTGTGGGAGAATGTTCATGTTCGATGCTCTATGCTCTATGCTCCGTGCTTCATCCTTCACGGACCATGCATCATTCATCATGCCCCATGCCCCATGCCCCATGCATGATGTATGGTGCATGATGTTAGGTCTAGGGATCGTCCCTACTAGAGTGCAGCGACTACAGTGAAAGCGCTTCTATTTCCTCAGAGTGTTCCGCCTCTGCCACTCCCTTCTATCATGGGTCTTCCATCAAGAGCCATACCCTGTGTATCTGTTTTCCACTCCCTTGTACCGTGCTGTACCGTGTTGTACCGTGTGTATGTCACAGGAGCCATACCCTGTGAGGTCCGACTGGAATGTCCTCTCAACTGCACCCCACCCATATGGTACGTCCTACTAGGGACGTGAATGGCATGCATGGTATGAAACATCACACCATATAGTAAGAAATAAGTATTGTGGGGGGCAAGGGGGCATTGTGAGGGAGCTCTCTCACTCGCACTGCACAATCCCCCCCCTTCTGGCCCCCTTTTAATAATCTCACTTCAGGACCATGGTGCATGTGGGAGGGGCGATGAGGGGAGCAGGGGCGGACCAGCTATCGTCACTTGTACGCAGCATAGTGCGTGTGAGGGCATCTCCTTCAGTGATACACCTCGTACCTGCTATAGGCCTCCGTCTCGACCACGAGGTACTAGTCTAGACCTGGCATGAGGAATATTACAACAAATATTTCGCAGCTAGTTTGCTGAGGCTATGCATTTATGAGACGTCTCGAAAATCAAAAGAAAAATTAGTTGCCTCAAACGCAGCTAGTTTGCTGAGGCTATGCAGTTCGTTTCGCCCATCAATTCATGCCGTGACCTTTGCTCCCCTGTGCCTGCCTGCCTGCCTGCCTGCCTGCCTGCCTGCCACAACTGCTGCTCCCCGAGAAGTATGACTGAGCATCATGCCTTCACCATTATCTCTCCTCAGCTCATCCGTTGCGGCTCTGCGTTCGACTTCGCCCATCGCTCCCACGCCATGAGACTGGAAGCATTCGCTCCGCTGCACCTCTCAACCCCCACCTCGTTCCCCGTCCTTCCCCCCTCCAACTCCCCACAGCTCATCCGCCGCGGCTCTGCTTTTGACTTCGCACATCGCTCCCACGCCATGAGGCTCGAAGCATTCGCTCCCCTGCGCCTGCCAAGGCAGCATGCAGTGAGCGACGCCCAGCCGCTGCCCTCCCTGGTCGGGCTGCATGTGGTGGAGGTGACAGCTGCTGCTGCTGCTGGGACTTACACGGAAACTGCTGCTGCACTCAGCTCATTCGCTGACCTCATTGCCCCGTAAGTCAATTCGGGGACTGATTGGCTGCTTATGGTAAGTTTGCCTTATTCGGGATGCCCAGCCCTGCCCTCTCTGGCCGGGCTGCATGTGGTGGAGGTCACAGCTGCTGCTGAGACCTACGCCGAGACTGCTGCTGCCCTGAGTTCATTCCCCGACCTCATTGCCCCGTGAGTCCCTTTTAGACTGCTCAAGGTATGTTTTCTTGCCCTTGTGAGTGACACTGACATGCGCCCAGCCGCTGCCCTCTCTGGCCGGGCTGCATGTGGTGGAGGTCACAGCTGCCGCTGCTGCTGAGACATACACAGAGACTGCTGCTGCCCTGAGTTCATTTGCCGACCTCATTGCTCCGTGAGTCCCTTTAAGACTGATTAAGGTATGTTTGCCGGCCTTGTGAGTGACACTGACATTGCGCACAGCCGCTGCCCCCTCTGGCTGGGCTGCATGTGGTGGAGGTCACAGCTGCTGCTGCTGCTGCTGCTGCTGCTGCTGCTGCTGCTGCTGCTGCTGCTGCTGCTGCTGCTGCTGCTGCTGCTGCTGCTGCTGCATGCCCTTTTCCAACCCAACCCCACTTCTCCTCCCTCTCCCCCTGGCTATTCCCCTCGGGGTACCTAAGTATGCCGCCTGCTGGTGCGTCAACTGCAGCTGCTGATTTCCATCCTCCACCTCACCCCCAATGCCCCCAACGTTTCCCCCCCTGCTCCCCCTTGGGTACCCCAGTTTGGTTCGTCTTTCAAAGCCCACCATCTCTGCTGGTCTCTCGCCTGCTGCTGCTTCAACTGCTGCTGCCGTTTGCCCTGCCTAGGTTTGTGCTGCAGGAATATACATTCAGTATTGCACGACGTGAATTCTTGTTATTGATCATTTTTTATATATAAAATATTATTCTGACCATAGGGAATTGTATTCATACTTAGATAGTACTAAAAGAAGCAGCCTGCAGTTTTTGTTTTTTTTTTTTTTATGGACAGTATATCTCGTTTTCCATAGCTTTAAACTGTAATGCCAGATCATAGTTATTTATTTGAACTTGTACCGGTAGCTACCTCCGTTCGTACATGCACCTATTTGGAATTTCCACATGTTTGCATTTACAGTCGCAGTAATAGCGCAAGCAAGGCGTCAGCAATATTCAGTATTATCTCATTGTTTTATAGCAAGAAAAAAAGTACAGTAAACTCTCAGAATAGGATTGCAACGGAATGTTTGAAACTAGAAAGTGTGAGAGTACAAATATGCAACCCTAACAACTGTACTCCCTATTGTGCTACTCACTGTAGCCTACAAGCATAGAATTACATTTGACACACCCCCATAGGCTAAGTGAGGGGCATCAAAGCAAGCAAGGTGAACAAACGGTCACAAGACCAGTCAAAGCAAGAAACAAGGCAAGCTCAGGGTGGATCTCAAGGACACCACACAAATTCCGAGCGCAAGCAAGCGGCCACAATGCCAGTTCAAGAGTTCACTAGGATATAAATAGGAAGCACAACAAGCAGAGCAAACAACAAGACTACAGCAACCGAGGGCCTACCTCAACAAGCCCCAACTGCACACAGAACCTGTGGTGATCACCAAGCGCCAAGGCCTTGGTGAAGACGTCTGCAGTGTTGGCCTCTGAGGCCACAAAGTCCAGGCGTGCCTGGCCGCGTCGCTGCAGCTCTCGCAGGAGGAAGTACCTCACGTCAATATGCTACACTCTGCTCTCCAGTCGAGGCTCTCGACATAGGAGGATCATGGCCTTGTTGTCAGCGTACAAGGTCGGTGCAGAGCGAGGCCGCTCACCAAGGTCGGCGAGCAAGAAGGTCAACCAGCGAAGCTCCTGTGCCGCCATGGCACCAGCGTAGATCTCTGCCTCTGCACTGGAAGTAGCCACAGACGACGACCGTGTAGACCTCCACGACACAGCACCAGCTCCCAGACTGAAGCAGTAACCCTGAGTCGAACGCTGAGTCTCCACGTCGTCAGCGTAGGAAGAGTCGCAGTGACCAGTCAACGCCACTGGCTGAGTCCCTCCAAGCACAAGCCCCATGCCTGATGTAGTCGCCAGGTACTTCGCCACCCTCACAGCAGCTGTCCAGTGGACAGGACGGTGTCTCCCAGTCGCAACAAAGCGAGAGAGGACGCTGAGGGGAAAGGCGAGGTCCGGCCGAGTACAAGTCATCAGGTACATGAGGCAGCCCACCAGCTCTGCGTAGGGACCACTGGACTCAAAAGGCTCGTCGGGAAAGGGGCCAGTGAGTCTGTGGTCAACAGCAAGAGGAGTGGGCTGTGTGGTGGAGAACTGGAAGTCGAACCGCCGAAGGACCTGCTGCACCATGTGTGACTGCGTCAGTGTGATGGTGCGAGCGGCTCTGTCCCGGGTGATCTGCAAGCCAAGGTAACGCTGCAGCTCACCCAGGTCAGTGCACTTGTGTCTCTTCTGCAGTTCGAACTTCACCTGAGCCAGGGCTGCCCTGTCTGCTGTAGCAAACACCAAGTCGTCGACGTAGACAAGGATAAAGAAAGGAGTAGAACCCGCTCGAACAAACAGCGACGGGTCGGTGGAGGACGGGCTGAACCCAAGGTCACGAAGCGTGGAGCGAAGAGTGTCGTGCCACTCACGGGGCGACTGGCGGAGACCGTAGACTGGTCGCCTCAGGCTCCACTGGGTTCCAGGTGGGAAGGTGTCAGTGAAGCCAGGAGGACGGCGCAGCCAGATCTCCTCGTGCAGTCGGCCCTGGAGGAACGCAGTGGAGAAGTCGAGGGAGTGCAGCTCGTAGTCTCGCTGCGCTGCTATGTGGAGTAACACCCGAAGAGTAGTCATCTTCGGGGTCGGGGCGAAGGTCTGGAAGAAGTCAACTCCCTCACGCTGACTGAAGCCCCTAGCCACGTAGCGCGCCTTGAACACCGGCGGTGCTCCAGGCGGCCGCTTCACCTTGAAGAGCCACATGCCATCGACTACGTTCGCCCTTGGAGGGGGAACTGCGTCGACGTAGGTGCCTGTGGATCTCCAAGACGCCAACTCTGAGTCCATAGCCGCTTTCCACTGAGAGGCCCACGCCCGTGACACTGCCTCGCGGTAAGTGCGAGGAGTCGGTATGTCAAGGGCGTCGGGGTCTCCCTCAGGGGAGAGCAGCATGGCACACACAGAGGGAGAAGCGGCTGCCCAATACTCCAGCTCAGACTCTCTGTCCTCTAGGACGTCACAGCCAAGGGCAAACTCACCCCCGACGGACAGAGGACGGGAGGGAGGAGCTGGCACCACACGGGTGGTGTAGTCAAGGCGACTGGCGGCAGCAAACTCAGCGACAGCGGCAGTGAGAGCCGAGACAGACGACGGAGGGAAACGAGAGTCGGTGACAAGAGTGGCGAGGACACGTGCGGCAACAGGACGAACAGTGCGGTAGTAGTCAGTGATAGGAGTGGGGAGGGCTGGGAGAGAGGGCAGAGGAGGAGACGGGAGAACGGACACAGGAGAAGGAGAACGACGACGAGACGTACAAAGGAGGGCAGTGTGGAGGTCAGTAACAGCTGACGAGTGACGAGCACGCGGAGGACAACGAGTGACCAAGTCGCGACGGACCGAAGGAGGAGGAGACTGGGGAGGAGGAGAAGACCAAACCGCCGGACGGTCGTCAGGAGGAGGCAACGGAGGAACAAACACAGGAGGAGAGGAGGAAAAGCCAAGGGCCCGCAGGCCACTCACAGGTGGGAACAACTGCCGCTCCAGAGGAAGCTGCGGTGGCGGCTGCGGCTGCTGCTGCTGTGGCGGCGGCTGCGGCTGCGGCTGCTGCTGCTGCTGCGGCTGCTGCTGCTGCCGCTGCTGCTGCTGCCGCTGCTGCTCCAGAAGGTCCAGCACCCGCAGCTCCTGCCGCTCCCTCTCCAACCGCTCCTGCTCCTCATGCTCACGCCGGCGGGCAGCCTGGAGTCGTGTGTCGTGGCGGTGGGGAGGCGGAGTGGACTCCGCAGAACCAGGGTCAGACTCCTCAGACTCAGCACCCCCAGAACCAGCACCTCCAGTGCCAGGACCTCCAACTCTAGCACCCCCAGAACTAGCACCACCAGTGCCAGCACCTCCAGCTCCAGCACCCCCAGAGCTAGCGCCACCTGCGCCAGCACCTCCAGCTCCAGCACCCCCAGAGCTAGCGCCACCTGCGCCAGCACCTCCAGCTCCAGCACCCCCAGAGCTAGCGCCACCTGCGCCAGCACCTCCAGCTCCAGCACCCCCAGAGCTAGCGCCACCTGCGCCTGCACCTCCAGCTCCAGCACCCCGCGACCGAGTACCCCCAGACCTAGCACCGCCAGTGGCTGCACCTCCAGCTCCAACACCAACCGAGTCCACAGTAACCTGTCGCGGAAGTGCCGAAGGCTGCTGAGGGGACTGTGAGGAGGACTGCGGGGAGGGAGACGCTACCTGACGCGCGGCCGAGGGTAGAGGGGTAACGTGGGACACACCAGACGGGGCAGGACCAGGGGGGGGCGGGGGTACCGGAGGAGCGGGAGCAGGAGGAGGAGAGGGTGCGAGGAAAAGAGGGGGAGGGGGTACCGGGTGTAGTAGGACACGGACTCGTCAAACCGGACGTCACGGGAGTCTAGGAAGTGGTGGAGGGGAGGGTGGTAAAAGGACCAGTCGGCAGAGTCCACTGGGAAACCAAGGAAGACACAGGGGACGGCGCGTGCCGAGAGCTTGTCCGCGGAGGTGTCGCGAACAAGTGCAAGGCAGCCCCAGACTCGAAAGGCCGACCCGACACCAGGGGAACCAGTCCAAAGACTGGTCGGTGAAACCTCGGGCCGCGAGACACGCGGCTGGAGGTTCAGCTGGTGTGCGGCGTAGCGAACCGTGTGGGGCCACAGAAAATGGGGCGCACGGGCATGGATCATGGACGTGCGGGCGATGTCCATGACCAAGACTATGCGGCGCTCAGCAACCCCATTCTGCTGTGGGGACTCTGGCAGCGTCCAGGACTGGGTGATGCCCTGTTCGCCGCAGAATCCGCCGAGAATGCCGGAGCGAAACTCGCCCCCACGGTCGGAGTGGAGACGACTGACTCGACGACCACGAGTGCCCTCAGTGGCTAGAAGCCACCTGATCAGCGTAGCTGTCACCTCGGACTTCTTCGCAAGAGGGAACACTGTGGTGTACCTGGAGAAGTCGTCAACGACCACCAGAAAGTAACGCTCCCTCCCAGACCCCTGCGTCGGGGTAGGGCCCCAGACGTCCAAGTGGAGAGTCTCGAAGGGAGCGGTGGCCGGACGAAGGGAGGAGGAGTAGGGAGTGGCGCGTAAGCGACCGGCGACGCACGGAGAGCAAGGAGGGGCAAGCGAGAGAGGGAGCGACGGGAAGGTGCGTGGGAGACCTGAGACAAGTCCCTGACTGAGCATGCCACGTAGGCGAGGGAGCGACGGGTGGCCAAGGCGGTGGTGCCACAGGACGGTGCGGTGGGTGAGAGAGCGACAGGAGCAAGACGCAGCGACTGGACTGGGCACAGCGACCGGACCGGACACGACTACCTGGCTAGACACAGCAACTGGACTGGGGACCTGGGCCGGAGGGGACGCAACGACCTGAGGGGAGGACGCGACCGGGGAGCGCTCGGTGTGAAGAACGTAGAGACCGGAGCGGGGCTCCCTGGTGAACGTGGCCAGAACAGCACCTGTGGTAGCGTCTGTACAGACTGCAGTCCGCCCACCCCCCACGAAGGTAACCGTGATCCCCCTGTCCTGGAGGTATCCAACACCCACCAAGTTCCGAGTGAACGAGGGGATGTGGAGGCCGCGCAGGACACCAGAGGGGACCACAGGGCACGGGAGGGTGGTGGAGCTACGCGCAACGGCTGGTCCAGAGGTAGGATCAGCCAGAGCCACTGACACAGGAGTGAGGAGTGGCGTAAGGGTCGTGTGGTCACGGAAGAAGCACTGAGACGCGCCCGAGTCCAGCGTGAACGACAAAGAGGCCTCAGCCGGAGGGTCACCTGACCCAGTCGCTACACAAGCACCTAGAGCAGCAACACAAGCACCTAAGCTAGACAGGCACAAGGCTACACTAGCAGGAGGCAAGCAGGCTAAACTACGAACACGCGAGCACACAGATCTGGCAGCACTAAAGTCAGCATCAACATACAAAGCATGCTGACGCGCATCGTCCATGGACAAATCAAAGACATCAATCTTACGGGTTAACAGACGAGACCAGCGAGGCGTGACCGCCAGGGGGCCCCAACGAGCCCGGTAGAGGTCGTCGAGGCGGCGGAAGCACCGCGCGGCAGAGTGGTCGTCGCGACCACAGAGACAGGGGCTGCCCGGCCCGGTGAGGCACCAGTGGGTGCAGGGGCCAGCGTCACGGCGAGGGGGGCGAGGGGCCCAGCTGGAAGAGCTGCTGCTGCGGCTGGTGCTCCCAGGGCCTCCCGGACCCCACTGCGGCGGGGGACCCCAGTGCTGCTGCGGACCCCACTGCAGCGGGGGCCCCCACTGCTGGAACTGCTGCGGTGCCTGCTGCTGCTGCTGTCCCTGCTGCTGCTGATGTGGCTGCTGCTGCTGGGGGGCAGCACCCCCACCGGTCGGGCCACTACCTGTGGGTGGACCTGTCTGTCCTGCGCCTCCTCCAAGGCCCCCTCCCCCTGGTGCACCACCGCCGCCGCCGCCGCCTCCACCACCACCGCCGCTCCCACCTCCACCGCCCCCTCCACCGCCACCTCCTCCGCCCACACCTCCCCCCTTCCCGCCCTTCTTGCCACTCTTGCCCCGTTTCTGCCAGTCTGCGGCAGAAACGGCAGCGGTGTCCTCAGAGACCGACACAGCAGCAGAAGCGCGGGTAGCGGTGAAAGTGGGAAGCTGAGGGGCGGCACACCCCGCAAAGAGACGGGGGGCCACCGCATCAGTGGCGGAGGCAACGGTGAGGAGGCTGCTCTCGATGGTCCCGAGAGCAGTCTGAAGGAAGTCTATAGTGAGTTCAGTGGGGTGCTTCTGAAGAAGCGCGTCGCGGGCAGTGGCAAGGCGGTCAGGGAGGCGGGTGACTAACCAGTGCACAGTGAGCCACATGGGGGGGGGGAGCAACAAGGAGCTGTGCGTCGGTACAGGCCGAACGAAAACCGGCGTCAAGCGAGCGGAGGTGAGTCACTAGGTCGGAAACAGTCGCAAACGAGCCTAGGTCGGGAAACACGAACGGCATGAGGAGGCGACTGAGGGAGGCGGAGGAGGGGGTGGAATAGCGAGCCACAATAGCATCCCAAACCCCCTTGGCTGTCTCCACCTGGTCAAAGTGAGCGGCCTCAGTCGGGGGGAGAAGCTCCGTTAGCGTGAGGGCGGCGGCCGCGTCACGAGAGAGCCACACGTCCCGAGCCAGGACCCGACGGTCGTAGTCCGCCTGGGCCGTAGGAGTCGGCTCCGGGGCGGTCGGCAGGGCGGCGAGGGACGGGGGTGCCGCGAGAGCACCCAACGCGTGGGCCCACAGAGTGGCGCCGTCCTGACGCTGGCTGGTGAGGAAACGTGTGGTCTGGCGCTGCCAGGTACCGAACTCGATCGGGCGTCCCTCAGCATCGAAACGGAGGCGACGAACCTCCATAGCAGAGCCCATGCTAGAGGCGACTGGAGCACGGCGGAGGCGGAGCTAAGAACGAGGAGGAAAACTACGGAGGGCTAGGGACGCCAGCGGGGAAACCGACGAGAGACAGTCGGCGAGAAAATAGTCGTGGGGCGGGGTTCTAACCGAACCTAGGTGGCGCTACCGGAGGGAAGAGCGGCTGCCAGCCGCTGAGCCGGGAGCCAAGTGCAGTAGGAATGGCGTGGGACCGGTGCACAGGTGAAGGGGAGAGAGATGCAGTAAGCGCACAGAGTGATGCGGTAAGTGTACGCAGGTGTGCGGTAAGCGCACGCAGGTGTGCGGTAAGTGTACGCAGGTGTGCAGTAGGCGCACGCAGGTGTGCGGTGAGTGCACGCAGGTGTGTGGTAAGTGCACGCAGGTGTGCGGGAAGCGCACGCAGGTGTGCGGGAAGCGCACACAGAGTGATGCGGTAAGTGCACGCAGGTGTGCGGTAAGTGCACGCAGGTATGCGGTAAGTGCACGCAGGTGTGCGGTAAGCGCACGCTAGTGTGCGGGAAGCGTTGACGGAGGAGGGCGCGCGACAGGCGGAGGGGAGGGCACGCGACGGTCTAAGGAGGGCGCGCGACGGTTGAGGAGGGCGCGCGACGGTTGAGGAGGGCGCGCGACTGTTGAGGAGGGCGCGCGGCGGTCTAAGGAGGGCGCACGACGGTTTTGGAGGGCGCGCAACGGTGGGGGAGGGCGCGCGGAGGTCTAAGGAGGGGGCGCGATAGGCTGGACGGCGCGGGTGGTCGCGGGCTAGGCGCGAGGAAGGCGCGGCGGGCGCGGAGGGCGCGGAGGGCGCGAGAGCACGGAGGGCGCGGAGGGCGCGGGGGCTAGCTAAAAATGAACGAGGATCTAACCTACTCGTGATACCATCTCAGAATAGGAATGCAACGGAATGTTTGAAACTAGAAAGTGTGAGAGTACAAATATGCAACCCTAACAACTGTACTCCCTATTGTGCTACTCACTGTAGCCTACAAGCATAGAATTACATTTGACATAAACCTACAAAAATTCAGGAAAAAAAATATCCAGCACATTGTCTTTCCTGTGCCTCCCGTTTTTCTGCATTAGTTACAAATAGTAATCGCCCTGCTTGGATGTGGCTTTCAAGTCCTTGAGCTTGCGCAGGATCTGGGTGTAGTATTCCTGCAAGTATTTCTCGAGCGTGGTGGTGTCCTTGGGATCTAGCCCCAGCAGCTTGTAGGTCTCCGTCATGGGGGCTGAGAACACCGCATTGCTTGTCAGCACCTGAAGGGTTGGGAATGGGAAAGTAAGGAGTGGCAGAGAAGAGTTGAGACAACACCACACCAGCCCGAGCAGCTTGTAGGTTTCCGTCATGGGCGCTGAGAACACAGCGTTGCTGGGCAGAACCTGGAGGAAATGACATGAAAGGGCAGGGGGAGCAGGAGCAGGCAGGGATACGAACGGTAAACATGAGCCCCAGCAGCTTGTAGGTCTCCGTCATGGGGGCTGAGCTGAGAACACCGCGTTGCTGGTAAGCACCTGATCTGTGGCAGGAGGGGAATAAGGAGAGGAATAGGAACTGTAAACAGCAGACCCTGCATCTTGTAGGTCCCTGTCATGGGGGCCGAGAACACCGCGTCGGTTGTCAGCACCTGGAGAAGTGGGCATTGGGAAGGGAGGCAGGAGCAGGCAGGGATAGGGGCGGTACACAGCACCCCCAGCATCTTGAACATCTTAGCCATGGGGGCTGAGAACAATGCGTTGCTCATCAGCACCTGGAGAAGTGGGCATTGGGAAGGGAGGCAGGAGCAGGCAGGGATAGGGGCAGTAAACAGCACCCCCAGCATCTTGTACATCTTAGCCATGGGGGCTGAGAACACTGCGTTGCTCATCAGCACCTGAAGGGTGGCAAGAGGGAGAAGAGGGAGAAGAGGGAGAGGGAGGAGGGATAGGAGAGGATATCGGGGCTACAACGGTCAAAGGGTGCACTAGCTAAAGGAGTGGAGATGAGTGGCTGAAGTGGGAAAAGAGGCGGTTTGTGCAGTGAGTAAAGTGCTCACTTTGTCAACCAGTCACAAGACTGTTAGTTATGACTGTGCTTACCATGAAATGACAGCTCTTTTTTCCTTGTCAGTTAACCCTCTGAAAGCCAGCCTGACTGCCACGTCAGCTTACCTCAGAGAACGCCAGCCTGTCTGCCACGTCAGACGACCACTGGAAGAGCTGCATGAACTTGCGGGTCAGCTTCAGCACGCCCACCGGCACTGTTGTCACCTTGGCGTCCTGCCCTGCCAGGCGCTCACACAGCGCAATCACCTGCCGGGGAAAGACAACAAGGGGAGGAAAGGAGTAAGGAGGTGAGATGAGATGCGTCAGCTTCAGCACCCCCCCATGCACCGTTGTCACCTTGGCGTCCTGCCCTGCCAGGCGCTCGCACAGTGCAATGACCAAGAGGAAGGAGATAATGGAGTATGGAGCAAGGGGGGAACCCTGTTTTAGCAATGGTCTTGCAGACAACAGTGTTAACTACACATCAACCACAGAGGAAATGGAATGGCAATACATGCTCCAGCCATTGCCTTACCTCACCGTCTCACCTCTCTCGGCTAGTGTAATCTAGGTCGTGATGACGAATTCTTTGGTATCCTGTTATTCAAGACAGACTCAGAAAACTAGCTGGTCTCACCTCCTGGGTGGTCCACGCCCTGGGCCCGGCCAGCGTGATGGTCTTGCGGTAGGTCTTCTCGTTCCTCAGAGCAGCCATGGTCGTGCGAGCCACGTCCTGTGAGTCAGTGCTGGCAGCGCTCACTGTCAGACACCCTCTGACCTCTAAATTACCCTTGCCTGGCCCGCCAGCTCACCTCCTGAGCAGTATTTTGAGGCGCCTCAAAATACACTGTCCACTAAAATGCCCTTGCCTGGCCCGCCAGCTCACCTCCTGCGTGGTCCACGCCCTGGGTCCAGCGAGCGTGATGGTCTTGCGGTAGGTCTTCTCGTTCCTCAGGGCAGCCATGGTCATGCGAGCCACGTCCTGCGAGTCAGTGCTTGCAGTGCTCACTGTCAGACACCCTCTGTCCTCTAAAATGCCCTTGCCTAGCCCGCCATCTCACCTCCTGCGTGGTCCACGCCCTGGGTCCAGCGAGCGTGATGGTCTTGCGGTAGGTCTTCTCGTTCCTCAGGGCAGCCATGGTCATGCGAGCCACGTCCTGAGAATCAATGTATGCGATGCGCGTGGTGGCGTCTGTGCCCCACACGGATTGCTCCTCAAGAATCGGCACCGCGTATTGGCCAATCAGCGCCTGCACAGAAACAGGGACACATAGAATGACGGAAGGGGTGTGCTGATACATTAGTGCCAATATACACGACGCGTGGGGTAGCATCTGTGCCCCAAACGAATTGCTCCTCGAGGATTGGCTCGGCGTACTGACCAATCAGCGCCCGCATGGGCGGTTATTCACCAGGAGGGGGAAGAAGAGGGGGGAAAGGGTTGAGGTGGATGGCACACTCGAGTGAACGTAAGTGACGCGCGAGAGGGCGTCTGCTCGGCCGCGCTACAAGAATCTCTTCCGTCTGCTTGGATGCTTGACAGGGGCACCAAGAATCAAGCTCTCTCTTCCTGTAACACAGTGATGCAAGCGCGGATGCATGCTGCATTTCGGGCCTACGCGGCTGCGCCACAGGATTCTGTTTTAGTGTGACAGAGGCACCAGGAGATGCGTTCACTTCTCCGGTTACACATTCATGCAAAAGCAGATGTAACATCCATTTCCTACCTGCATGAAGCCACACAGGCGGATGGTGGTATAGTTAAGCGTGCTCTGCTCCAGCAGCTTCTCCGTGCACTGTTTGATCTCCATCAGCGGCACCTCGGGGTGCTGCTCCGACTGAGGTGCTGGGGGGTTGGGACCACCATCCTCGGAAACACCACCCGTACCTGCCTGCTTTTCAACCACCGCGTTCCTTACCCGCATGAACAGCCGCGTTTCGTTGCGTACCTGCATGAAGCCACACAGGCGGATGGTGGTGTAGTTGAGCGTACTCTGCTCGAGCAGCTTCTCCGTGCACTTCTTGATCTCCATCAGCGGCACTTCAGGGTGCTGCTCCGACTGAGGAGCTCGGGGGTTGGGACCACCATCCTCGGAAACACCACCCGTACCTGCCTGCTTTTCAACCACCGCGTTCCTTACCCGCATGAACAGCCGCGTTTCGTTGCGTACCTGCATGAAGCCACACAGGCGGATGGTGGTGTAGTTCAGCGTGCTCTGCTCGAGCAGCTTCTCCGTGCACTTCTTGATCTCCATCAGCGGCACTTCAGGGTGCTGCTCCGACTCGTGGATGGAGAAGAAGAGGTACCGCTGCACGCCCATCGCCTGCGCGGATTGAATCAGGGCCACCTTGCCGTTCCAGTCGACGGTTCGGATCGGCTCCTCGGGACGGCCGGTCGCGCAGTCGATGACTGTGTGCACGCCCACGAGAGCCGCCGGGAGGGTCTCTGGCCGGGTGAGGTCGCCCTGTTGAGGGGAAATGAGCGAGGCAGCAGGGAAAGGGGAGCACGGGATTGAATCTACCGCGCGAATGGGCTCCTCGGAACGCCCCTGCGCGCACTCGGTGAAGGCGTGCACTCCCACGAGCGCTGCTGGAGGGTCCCTGGGCGGGTGAAGTCGCCCTACTGTGCTGGGGGAAAAAGGCGAGGGAACAGCGGAACTTATGGTCGACAGCATCAGAGCCCACATGGGAGACATTAACGCTCAAATTGACGACAATGGAGCTCCATTTGAGACCATAGAGCTCACATTAACGGGAATGGTACTCAAATGAACGACAAAAAAATCACATTGACGGCGGTAAAACTCACATTGACGACCATAAAACTCACGCAGGCGACAGTCAAACTCGCATTAACGACAGTAGCTCCCTAGTCACGGAGAATATTCGCAGGCTGTGGTCGAGGCCGCACGGAGCAGCAATGTATGAGTTGACTCAGAAGTTAAACTCTTTTTAGGCAACAAAACTCACATTGACGACAGTAGCACCCCAGTCGCGAAGGAAATCCGCGGGCTGTGGTCGAGGCCGCACGAGGCAGCGAACATCGAAACCGTCGTCCAGAAGCTTGCGAACGATCTGACGGCCCAGAGTCCCCGTCGCTCCCACTACAAGCACACTCGTTGTACGCACTGGCGTTCCTTGAAACGCGGTTACCGCCGCGGCGGAAGCGGCGGTTACAGGAGGAATGGCGGACGCGGAAACGGAAACGACATTTGAACGGGAAACTGGAGTTGCGTTCAGACTGCGTGAGTCGCATGAGAGGGAGATGGCCTGATTCACCAGGTCTCTCGAAGCAAGGCTTCGCAGCGTGACATTCTTCGCAGAGCTTCGCAGCTCGCCTCCCAGCGACACAGATTTCAGCTGGCAAAACGAAGACGCAGACATTGAGACGGCCATTGCGAAGATAATAAATCTATGAAGATAGTCGGGCCTAGACACTCAAAGTGAGGTAAGAAGCTAAGGCCACGAAGGAAGTAGTGTGACAGGTGAAGTAATCTTGCTGTCTACTTGTTGCCTGGTCTTTATATGAGAGGCGTGATGCAAGCAGAAATCAAAATTGCTGAATTTAGATGGGCAAGAAGGGAACACCTATGGCCGTTCAAACGAGAACTTAGCAACCTCAGGGAAAATCTCAAGTAATCAGAGGGTTTTTTACTAAGATCCAGAACTGCTGAATCCTTTCATGGAAGTGCTGGAGACAGTGTGCAGCTTCCAAGGTTCGTGATCGATCGGACGGCCAGCGCGCCACCGAGATGGTGTTCGAATTTGCTCCACACCAGCCCCGCGAAGGACAACTGGAAACACACCAAGCGAGGGACGGAGCTCTCAAGGTGACACGCAGTCCCGACCTACGTGGATAGTGTCAACGCTCGTCTAGTTCGATTGGGTATCACAGGAGATTCTGACGTGGCGTTCGTGAATCCCTGAACCTCCATTGCAGCCGACTCGCGTATCTCCAATACAGAAACTCCAAGAATCTCCGATACAGACAACCCACTCGACATATCAAAAGCAATAACGGAACGCAGGAGGGGCTGGCAGTGCATATGGCCTTGTACAAGTGTAGCAACTGTTCAACAATGGGGCAATAACAATCCAGATAATACTGTACCAGATCTGTGACTAATTGGGCAGGCTTGCAGCTAAATAGCACACATGTCATTCCCTAATGGAGTTGATGAGGAGGAAAGGATGGCTTCTTCTGCTTGAGCCAACTAAGAAATGATGGGGAGGAAAGGAACTTCTAGAATGAAATGGCTGAAGAACAAGCAACATGGCATACGGTGACTATTTAGTCAACTCAAGAGATAATTCAGCTTGAATCAAGTGGGTTGTGACCTAATACCTAGGCGCATGGTGGAGCCTGAGGGTCCACTAGTGGGGAGGAGGAAGTGGAAGAGGAAGTGGAAGAGGAGGGGGAAGGAGAGAGAGAGGAGGAGGAGGGGGAGGAGGAGGAGGAGGAGGGGGAGGAGGAGGAGTAGGAGCGAGACGGGAAGCGAATGGGGCAGGTTGCAAGGCAGGGGGTGAGCAGCACAGGGTCGGTGTCTCGAGGGGGGGCATGCACTCCGAACTTGAACTGGTGGGAGAGAGATAGAAGGGGGAAGGGAGGGAAGGAAAGGAGGGACTCAAGATGAGATAAACAAAGGGAGATGTTTCAAATGGAGAGAGGGAGTGAGCAGCAGTGGGTCGGTGTCTCGAGGGGGGGCATGCACCCCGAACTTGAACTGGTGAGCAAGGAGGAGAGGGGAACGGGAAGGGGGAGGTAGGGGAGAATATTTGAGAATTCTCAAAAATCGCTCACAAGGAGACCATGAGCAGCGGCACGCCCAGCCTGATTAGCCAACCAAAGCACTCGCCCAGCAACCTGTAACCTGGTAACCTGCTCCTTCCACCCACCCAGGATCCCAGTCACCGCAATCACCTGGCAGCTGAAGTCCTCGAAATTGGGCTCCATGAGCAGAGGCACGCCCATGTCTTCTTAGCCAACTGGACCATTCACCCAGCAACCTGTAACCTGGTAACCAGTTCCACCCAACCAGTCATCAGTCACTCACCTCGCAGCTGAAGTTCTCGAAATTGGGCTCCATGAGCAGCGGCACGCCCATGTCCTGAAACATAAACGCCTGTGTTGAGGAGAATGGGGGGCAAGTGGGGGCATAGGTGTGAGAAGGATAGGGGGAGAAGAAGGCGCATGAACAGTGTGTGTTGGGCTCCATGAGCAGCGGCACGCCCATGTCCTGAAACATAAACGCCTGTGTTGAGGAGAATGGGGGGCAAGTGGGGGCATAGGTGTGAGAAGGATAGGGGGAGAAGAAGGCGCATGAACAGTGTGTGTTGGGCTCCATGAGCAGCGGCACGCCCATGTCCTGAAACATAAACGCCTGTGTTGAGGAGAATGGGGGGCAAGTGGGGGCATAGGTGTGAGAAGGATAGGGGGAGAAGAAGGCGCATGAACAGTGTGTGTTGGGCTCCATGAGCAGCGGCACGCCCATGTCCTGAAACATAAACGCCTGTGTTGAGGAGAATGGGGGGCAAGTGGGGGCATAGGTGTGAGAAGGATAGGGGGAGAAGAAGGCGCATGAACAGTGTGTGTTGGGCTCCATGAGCAGCGGCACGCCCATGTCCTGAAACATAAACGCCTGTGTTGAGGAGAATGGGGGGCAAGTGGGGGCATAGGTGTGAGAAGGATAGGGGGAGAAGAAGGCGCATGAACAGTGTGTGTTGGGCTCCATGAGCAGCGGCACGCCCATGTCCTGAAACATAAACGCCTGTGTTGAGGAGAATGGGGGGCAAGTGGGGGCAAGTGTGGGGGGGAGAGAAGGGGAGAGAATGAACGGGGGAAAAAGGTGTAAGGGGGAGGAGGAGGCACAGCAGTTACTTACTGGACTGCATCAATCAGCAGTGGCACCCCCCCGTGCCCTTTAGAGTTGACTGAAAAGTCACCTTTTGAGTCGCCTCCCAAGTCAAGCAGGAGGAGGCACAGCAGTTACTTACTTACTGAACTGCATCAATCAGCAGTGGCACCCCCCCGTACCCTGAAGACGGGACAGCAAGAGCGACGGGAGCGACAGCATGGGCGTAGGTGCATGCACAGCATGGGCATAGGTGCATGCACAGCATGGGCATAGGTGCATGCACAGCATGGGCATAGGTGCATGCACAGCATGGGCATAGGTGCATGCACAGCATGGGCATAGGTGCATGCACAGCATGGGCATAGGTGCATGCACAGCATGGGCATAGGTGCATGCACAGCATGGGCATAGGTGCATGCACAGCATGGGCATAGGTGCATGCACAGCATGGGCATAGGTGCATGCACAGCATGGGCATAGGTGCATGCACAGCATGGGCATAGGTGCATGCACAGCATGGGCATAGGTGCATGCACAGCATGGGCATAGGTGCATGCACAGCATGGGCATAGGTGCATGCACAGCATGGGCATAGGTGCATGCACAGCATGGGCATAGGTGCATGCACAGCATGGGCATAGGTGCATGCACAGCATGGGCATAGGTGCATGCACAGCATGGGCATAGGTGCATGCACAGCATGGGCATAGGTGCATGCACAGCATGGGCATAGGTGCATGCACAGCATGGGCATAGGTGCATGCACAGCATGGGCATAGGTGCATGCACAGCATGGGCATAGGTGCATGCACAGCATGGGCATAGGTGCATGCACAGCATGGGCATAGGTGCATGCACAGCATGGGCATAGGTGCATGCACAGCATGGGCATAGGTGCATGCACAGCATGGGCATAGGTGCATGCACAGCATGGGCGTAGGTGCATGCACAGCATGGGCATAGGTGCATGCACAGCATGGGCATAGGTGCATGCACAGCATGGGCATAGGTGCATGCACAGCATGGGCATAGGTGCATGCACAGCATGGGCATAGGTGCATGCACAGCATGGGCGTAGGTGCATGCACAGCATGGGCATAGGTGCATGCACAGCATGGGCATAGGTGCATGCACAGCATGGGCGTAGGTGCATGCACAGCATGGGCATAGGTGCATGCACAGCATGGGCGTAGGTGCATGCACAGCATGGGCATAGGTGCATGCACAGCATGGGCGTAGGTGCATGCACAGCATGGGCATAGGTGCATGCACAGCATGGGCATAGGTGCATGCACAGCATGGGCGTAGGTGCATGCACAGCATGGGCATAGGTGCATGCACAGCATGGGCGTAGGTGCATGCACAGCATGGGCATAGGTGCATGCACAGCATGGGCATAGGTGCATGCACAGCATGGGCATAGGTGCATGCACAGCATGGGCGTAGGTGCATGCACAGCATGGGCGTAGGTGCATGCACAGCATGGGCGTAGGTGCATGCACAGCATGGGCATAGGTGCATGCACAGCATGGGCATAGGTGCATGCACAGCATGGGCGTAGGTGCATGCACAGCATGGGCATAGGTGCATGCACAGCATGGGCATAGGTGCATGCACAGCATGGGCGTAGGTGCATGCACAGCATGGGCATAGGTGCATGCACAGCATGGGCGTAGGTGCATGCACAGCATGGGCATAGGTGCATGCACAGCATGGGCATAGGTGCATGCACAGCATGGGCATAGGTGCATGCACAGCATGGGCGTAGGTGCATGCACAGCATGGGCGTAGGTGCATGCACAGCATGGGCGTAGGTGCATGCACAGCATGGGCATAGGTGCATGCACAGCATGGGCATAGGTGCATGCACAGCATGGGCGTAGGTGCATGCACAGCATGGGCATAGGTGCATGCACAGCATGGGCGTAGGTGCATGCACAGCATGGGCATAGGTGCATGCACAGCATGGGCATAGGTGCATGCACAGCATGGGCATAGGTGCATGCACAGCATGGGCATAGGTGCATGCACAGCATGGGCATAGGTGCATGCACAGCATGGGCATAGGTGCATGCACAGCATGGGCATAGGTGCATGCACAGCATGGGCATAGGTGCATGCACAGCATGGGCATAGGTGCATGCACAGCATGGGCATAGGTGCATGCACAGCATGGGCATAGGTGCATGCACAGCATGGGCATAGGTGCATGCACAGCATGGGCATAGGTGCATGCACAGCATGGGCATAGGTGCATGCACAGCATGGGCATAGGTGCATGCACAGCATGGGCATAGGTGCATGCACAGCATGGGCATAGGTGCATGCACAGCATGGGCATAGGTGCATGCACAGCATGGGCATAGGTGCATGCACAGCATGGGCATAGGTGCATGCACAGCATGGGCATAGGTGCATGCACAGCATGGGCATAGGTGCATGCACAGCATGGGCATAGGTGCATGCACAGCATGGGCATAGGTGCATGCACAGCATGGGCATAGGTGCATGCACAGCATGGGCATAGGTGCATGCACAGCATGGGCATAGGTGCATGCACAGCATGGGCATAGGTGCATGCACAGCATGGGCATAGGTGCATGCACAGCATGGGCATAGGTGCATGCACAGCATGGGCATAGGTGCATGCACAGCATGGGCATAGGTGCATGCACAGCATGGGCATAGGTGCATGCACAGCATGGGCATAGGTGCATGCACAGCATGGGCATAGGTGCATGCACAGCATGGGCATAGGTGCATGCACAGCATGGGCATAGGTGCATGCACAGCATGGGCATAGGTGCATGCACAGCATGGGCATAGGTGCATGCACAGCATGGGCATAGGTGCATGCACAGCATGGGCGTAGGTGCATGCACAGCATGGGCATAGGTGCATGCACAGCATGGGCATAGGTGCATGCACAGCATGGGCATAGGTGCATGCACAGCATGGGCATAGGTGCATGCACAGCATGGGCATAGGTGCATGCACAGCATGGGCATAGGTGCATGCACAGCATGGGCATAGGTGCATGCACAGCATGGGCGTAGGTGCATGCACAGCATGGGCATAGGTGCATGCACAGCATGGGCATAGGTGCATGCACAGCATGGGCATAGGTGCATGCACAGCATGGGCATAGGTGCATGCACAGCATGGGCATAGGTGCATGCACAGCATGGGCATAGGTGCATGCACAGCATGGGCGTAGGTGCATGCACAGCATGGGCGTAGGTGCATGCACAGCATGGGCATAGGTGCATGCACAGCATGGGCATAGGTGCATGCACAGCATGGGCATAGGTGCATGCACAGCATGGGCATAGGTGCATGCACAGCATGGGCATAGGTGCATGCACAGCATGGGCATAGGTGCATGCACAGCATGGGCATAGGTGCATGCACAGCATGGGCGTAGGTGCATGCACAGCATGGGCATAGGTGCATGCACAGCATGGGCATAGGTGCATGCACAGCATGGGCATAGGTGCATGCACAGCATGGGCATAGGTGCATGCACAGCATGGGCATAGGTGCATGCACAGCATGGGCATAGGTGCATGCACAGCATGGGCGTAGGTGCATGCACAGCATGGGCATAGGTGCATGCACAGCATGGGCATAGGTGCATGCACAGCATGGGCATAGGTGCATGCACAGCATGGGCATAGGTGCATGCACAGCATGGGCATAGGTGCATGCACAGCATGGGCATAGGTGCATGCACAGCATGGGCATAGGTGCATGCACAGCATGGGCATAGGTGCATGCACAGCATGGGCATAGGTGCATGCACAGCATGGGCATAGGTGCATGCACAGCATGGGCATAGGTGCATGCACAGCATGGGCATAGGTGCATGCACAGCATGGGCATAGGTGCATGCACAGCATGGGCATAGGTGCATGCACAGCATGGGCATAGGTGCATGCACAGCATGGGCATAGGTGCATGCACAGCATGGGCATAGGTGCATGCACAGCATGGGCATAGGTGCATGCACAGCATGGGCATAGGTGCATGCACAGCATGGGCATAGGTGCATGCACAGCATGGGCATAGGTGCATGCACAGCATGGGCATAGGTGCATGCACAGCATGGGCATAGGTGCATGCACAGCATGGGCATAGGTGCATGCACAGCATGGGCATAGGTGCATGCACAGCATGGGCATAGGTGCATGCACAGCATGGGCATAGGTGCATGCACAGCATGGGCATAGGTGCATGCACAGCATGGGCATAGGTGCATGCACAGCATGGGCATAGGTGCATGCACAGCATGGGCATAGGTGCATGCACAGCATGGGCATAGGTGCATGCACAGCATGGGCATAGGTGCATGCACAGCATGGGCATAGGTGCATGCACAGCATGGGCATAGGTGCATGCACAGCATGGGCATAGGTGCATGCACAGCATGGGCATAGGTGCATGCACAGCATGGGCATAGGTGCATGCACAGCATGGGCATAGGTGCATGCACAGCATGGGCATAGGTGCATGCACAGCATGGGCATAGGTGCATGCACAGCATGGGCATAGGTGCATGCACAGCATGGGCATAGGTGCATGCACGGGTATACGGACACATCCCTCCCCTACCACAGCAAGTGCACACGCACGCGCATGCATGCAGATACCCGCATTCACATACCTGAGTGGAATTTTGAGACGTCTCAAAAGACAGCATGGGCGTAGGTGCATGCACAGGTATGAGAACACACCGCTCCCCTACCACAGCACATGCACACGCACATGCATGCATGCAGATACCCGCATTCACATACCTGAGTGGGCATCTTGCACGTGTGAATGCAGCTGCCAGCACATTTCGTCTCGCCCAGTGCGCATGTGCATGCCCGTGCATGCATGCGTACATGAATGCACATACCTGAGTGGGCATCTTGCATGTGTGAATGCAGCTGCCAGCACACTTTGATTCGTCCAGGAACTTGCACTTCTCTATATTCACCTGATAGGAGAGGGAGGAAGCGGGAGGAAAAGAGCAACAGAGGGATGTTGAGGGGGATGCGCGTTCTTCCCACCACCAGGTGAGGGGGATGCGCACACTTTGATTCGTCCTGGAACTTGCACTTCTCAATCTTCACCTGGCGGTGAGCGGAAGGACAGGAGGCGGGAGGAACAGAAAAAGAGCAACAGAGGGATGTTGAGGGGGATGCGCACACTTTAAGTCGTCCAGGAACTTGCACTTCTCAATCTTCACCTGGTGGAGGGAAGAACGAGGCATGCTTGGTCACGCTTGGTCACGCTTGGTCGCGCTTGGTCGCGCTCGGTCCGGTCACGCTTGGTCACGCACGCTTGGTCGCGCTCGGTCGCGCTCGGTCGCGCTCGGTCGCGCTGGGTCGCGCTCGGTCGCGCTGGGTCGCGCTGGGTCGCGCTGGGTCGCGCTGGGTCGCGCTGGGTCGCGCTGGGTCGCGCTGGGTCGCGCTGGGTCGCGCTGGGTCGCGCTGGGTCGCGCTGGGTCGCGCTGGGTCGCGCTGGGTCGCGCTGGGTCGCGCTGGGTCGCGCTGGGTCGCGCTGGATCGCGCTGGGTCGCGCTGGATCGCGCTGGGTCGCGCTGGGTCGCGCTGGGTCGCGCTGGGTCGCGCTGGGTCGCGCTGGGTCGCGCTGGGTCACGCTGGGTCACGCTGGGTCACGCTGGGTCACGCTGGGTCACGCTGGGTCACGCTGGGTCACGCTGGGTCACGCTGGGTCACGCTGGGTCACGCTGGGTCACGCTGGGTCACGCTGGGTCACGCTGGGTCACGGGTCACGCTGGGTCACGCTGGGTCACGCTGGGTCACGCTGGGTCACGCTGGGTCACGCTGGGTCACGCTGGGTGTCACGCTGGGTGTCACGCTGGGTCACGCTGGGTCACGCTGGGTCACGCTGGGTCACACTGGGTCACACTGGGTCACACTGGGTCACGCTGGGCCACGCTGGGTCACGCTGGGTCACGCTGGGTCACGCTGGGTCACGCTGGGTCACGCTGGGTCACGCTGGGTCACGCTGGGTCACGCTGGGTCACGCTGGGTCACACTGGGTCACACTGGGTCACACTGGGTCACACTGGGTCACACTGGGTCACACTGGGTCACACTGGGTCACACTGGGTTCACTGGGTGAACACACCACTAGAGCCACAAACACTCAGCGACTCACTCCCGAGCGTTGCTTGCGGCCGTCCTCCATGTCAATCTCAACCACCGTGCTGGTCCCCATGAGCCACTGGTGTGCCCAGTGCCCAGGCATGCGAGTGAGAGTGCCACCAACCAGCGCCATATACCCATACCCAACACACTCACTCCCGAGCGTTGCTTGTGGCCGTCCTCCATGTCAATCTCAACCACCGTGCTGGTCCCCATGAGCCACTGGTGTGCCCAGTGCCCAGGCATGCGAGTGAGAGTGCCACCAACCAGCGCCATATACCCATACCCAACACACTCACTCCCGAGCGTTGCTTGTGGCCGTCCTCCATGTCAATCTCAACCACCGTGCTGGTCCCCATGAGCCACTGGCAGGCATGTGAGCATGCATACCACCAGCAGAATAACCATACTCACACACTCAGCGACTCACCCCCGAGCCACCACCGTGCTGGTCCCCATGAGCCACTGCCCTGCCCAGTGCCCACACAGGTGACCATACCCACACACACAACACTCACCTCCGATCGTTGCTTTCGGCCGTCCTCCATCTCTATCGCCACCACCTTGCTGGGCCCCATGAGCCACTGACAGGCGAGGTGCGTCACCCACGCTGGGAGGGAGGGAAGAAGGTCGGGAGGGAAGAAGAGAGGGAGGGAGGGAGGGAGGGAGGGAGGGAGGGAGGGAGGGAGGGAGGGAGGGAGGGAGGGAGGGAGGGAGGGAGGGAGGGAGGGAGGGAGGGAAGAAGAGAGGGAGGGAGGGAGGGAGGGAGGGAGGGAGGGAGGGAGGGAGGGAGGGAGGGAGGGAGGGAGGGAGGGAGGGAGGGAGGGAGGGAGGGTCGGAGGGAGGGAGGGAGGAAGGGAGGGAGGGAGGGAGGGAGGGAGGGAGGGAGGGAGTGAGGGAGGGAGGGAGAGAGGGAGGGAAGAAGGTAGGGAGGGAGGGAGGGAGGGAGCACCACAGCACAGATCTGAGGCCAGCACTTACTGTGATATAAACGATAGCACACCGCTCTGTGCTTACTTCTTGAGCAGAGAACAATGTGCAGAGTATCGAGCCCCGCCAAATATACATCTATATATATATTTTAGGCGCCTCAAAAATAGCACACTGTTGTTCAGTGCCTACCACGGAGTATCGAGCACAGCAGCGCTTACCACATGACTATTTTGTTGCTTTGAGATGTCTCAAAACATATCTATTTTCACGCGCTGCGATATCACCAATATCGAGCACACCGTTCGTGCACGGAGTATCAAGCACTGCAGCGAAAGAAAGGCGGGAATGACTGAACCGAGCGTAACGTAACAAGTCGGCTAAACAGCACATCGGCCTTACCACAGAGCACAGCAGCAACTCGGCCGCCCCACAATGGAGCAAAGAACCTCTTGAAGAGCGGCAGAAGGAAGGGCGGGAAGTGGGCTCGTAGAATGGTCACCTGATGGGCGGCAGGAGAGGGGATGGGTGATAGAGAGCGTATGTGAGTAAGCATGTGACTATAACGAGCAGCACACACAGCTCACCGCGTCCTGTTTGCTCTTCCTACCATCCAAGTGCATTAGCAGCAGCATGTCTATGTGACTATAACATGTCATTCATGGAGTTTGTTTCTCTGTCCTAAACAGCAAGAGTTGATGGAAATAAGGCCTCCGCAGCCCACCTGTTCAACTTCGACAGCAGCAGCATGTGTATGTGACTATAACATGTCATTTATGCTCATCTTATGGTCATGTGACGCTCATGGTATGCTCATCTTATGGTCATGTGACGCTCATGGTATGCTCATCTTATGGTCATGTGACGCTCATGGTATGCTCATCTTATGGTCATGTGACGCTCATGGTATGCTCATCTTATGGTCATGTGACGCTCATGGTATGCTCATCTTATGGTCATGTGACGCTCATGGTATGCTCATCTTATGGTCATGTGACGCTCATGGTATGCTCATCTTATGGTCATGTGACGCTCATGGTATGCTCATCTTATGGTCATGTGACGCTCATGGTATGCTCATCTTATGGTCATGTGACGCTCATGGTATGCTCATCTTATGGTCATGTGACGCTCATGGTATGCTCATCTTATGGTCATGTGACGCTCATGGTATGCTCATCTTATGGTCATGTGACGCTCATGGTATGCTCATCTTATGGTCATGTGACGCTCATGGTATGCTCATCTTATGGTCATGTGACGCTCATGGTATGCTCATCTTATGGTCATGTGACGCTCATGGTATGCTCATCTTATGGTCATGTGACGCTCATGGTATGCTCATCTTATGGTCATGTGACGCTCATGGTATGCTCATCTTATGGTCATGTGACGCTCATGGTATGCTCATCTTATGGTCATGTGACGCTCATGGTATGCTCATCTTATGGTCATGTGACGCTCATGGTATGCTCATCTTATGGTCATGTGACGCTCATGGTATGCTCATCTTATGGTCATGTGACGCTCATGGTATGCTCATCTTATGGTCATGTGACGCTCATGGTATGCTCATCTTATGGTCATGTGACGCTCATGGTATGCTCATCTTATGGTCATGTGACGCTCATGGTATGCTCATCTTATGGTCATGTGACGCTCATGGTATGCTCATCTTATGGTCATGTGACGCTCATGGTATGCTCATCTTATGGTCATGTGACGCTCATGGTATGCTCATCTTATGGTCATGTGACGCTCATGGTATGCTCATCTTATGGTCATGTGACGCTCATGGTATGCTCATCTTATGGTCATGTGACGCTCATGGTATGCTCATCTTATGGTCATGTGACGCTCATGGTATGCTCATCTTATGGTCATGTGACGCTCATGGTATGCTCATCTTATGGTCATGTGACGCTCATGGTATGCTCAACTTATGGTCATGTGATTCTCATGTCATGCAATGACTCACCGCGTCCTCCTCGCTCTTCTTGCGATCCCCGTGCATCAGCAGCAAGAGTATGTATGCAGTGCACTGTGTGTGACTATAACGAGCACACACACACACACACACACACACACCCACACACACACACACACACACACACACACACACACTCACCGCGTCCTCCTCGCTCTTCTTGCGATCGGGGTGCATCTGCAGCAGCTTCCGCGCCTCCTCTATCATCCCATCGTACCCCTCTTTCGGCGAGCTCCATCCCACCACCTGAGACACGGGTGGGGAGCAATGAAGGGAGAGAGAGAGAGAGGGAATCAGCAGCAGCCTGCACGCCTCCTCTATCATCCCGTCATACCCCTCTTTAGTCGAGCTCCATCCCACCACCTGAAAACACAGCGAAGAGCGGATAGGGGGATGGAGGTTGGGAGGAGTATGTGGAGAGAAAGAGAGGGCATTTGCAGCAGCCTGCTCGCCTCCTCTATCATCCCATCATACCCCTCCTTGGGCAAGCTCCATCCCACCACCTGAACGCAGAGTGAACAGTGGGACAAAGGAATGGAAGATGGAGGAGTATGCTTTTGAGTCGACTCAAAAGTGCGGAGAGGATGCATGAGCAGCAGCTTTCGCGCCTCCTCTATCATCCCGTCATACCCCTCCTTGGGACAGCCCCACCCCACCACCTGAACGCAGAGTGAACAGCGGGATAGGGGGATGGAAGTGGGATAGGGGAAGGGAGGAAGTTGGGCGAACTGAAGGGTGATGGAGAGGGCATCAGCAGCAGCTTTCCGGCTCGCTCTCACACACGCCAGACTCAAGGACTCCGTTTCACATCACAGCTCACTCCTCGTGAAAAGTAATTGATTCCGCGACAGCTCAAAACACCCAAACGCACCAGATAGACCCGGCTTGGTCTCGCACACTGCTTGCTTTCAAAGAAATTAAAAAAAGATCCGGCTTGCTCTCTCACTTCTGTAACTGAACTACCCACTTTCGCCTACTTTCGCATCACGGCCCGCTCCTCACGTCTCTCAATCCCACCTCACTCGCCGCATTTCCCCCTACTTCCCCCCCCACCCCTCTTCGCCTTCCCCCACCACGCCGCACCTCCACAAGTTTCTGCCTGAAGTTCGCAAGCGCAAGCCGACCGAACAGACCCGGATTGTACGGCGGACTCTCCGTCACTGCTCCTGCTGCTCCTGCCGCTGTTTCGCCTGCTGCGCCAGTCGCGCTGTTCATAGAGAGGTTTCGTTTGGTCGTAGCGGAGGATTGTGAATCAGCGGGCTTTCCGGCGGAGAATGGGGTTGATGTCGGCCGCGGTGATCCGGAGGCCGTTGCGACGACGATTCTCCGTCGTTGACTCGTCGCACAGTAACCGGTCGTCGCGCGTGGCTTTCGCAAGTGCGAATCGCACAATGGGATCCACGATGGAGATCGCGACAGGATTGGAGGGCGATTGCTTGATACTATACCATTCGCTGCGGACGGACGGCAGGCGACGTGCGACGCCATGGCGAATGGAGCGACAACTGGCTGCGATGGGAGCACCAACGGGTTCCTGGAAATGCAACGGGGACACAAACAACCGCGATGCGAGAATATGCACTCCACCAGCAGGCGGTCTGTCTCGAAACCAAACTCACCAGTTGCGAGGGAAAGCAATTCGCAGCAACATATAATCTCCCAGTCAATTGGGAGAATACGTGGGAGAGAGCAGCAACCAACACCACGAGTCTGCGGAAAAAGTCAATCCCTCTTCCCCCACCACTAGTTCAGGGATGGGGTGATCTACATCGTTGAATAGTGTTGGAGTGCGACCCGGGATTTTGAAGCCTAGAGATGATCACAACACAACGCATTCCGAACATTCAAACAGCGTTTCTGATGACATTCATAATGCATGTGGTGTTCGAAATAGGTAGTTCAGTCATAAACAAGCTGCAGTTGCCAGTTCATGACGTGTCACACTTGCGGCCTGGATGTCGCAACCAATGGCACGTTTTTCGCCACCTGTCAAACGCTGCAAAATGCTGACGGCCTGTCAAACGCTAAACCCACTGACCAATGAAAGCAAGTGCCTGTCATTGCTCGCATGTTCTAACATGTTTGCGACATTTCAGAGTGTTCGTAACCTACTGGAAACGCGGCCTCGGAAGTGGTCACCGCAGTGCTACGTCACACTTCCGAGCAGCACATTTCTGGCCACATGCAAGCACCGTCCTCCAATCTCTGTAGGTACGCGTTACGGCTGATTTCGGTGGTCCTGAGTGGGTTTAAAAAAACGCCTATTAGCGAGTCCATATTTGCAGGCAACTTCGTTTGTTTTCATGCATAAACCCAACTTTATACCACTCTGGTTCTGGAATCCAAACATTGCACAACACACAACTAATTCACAATGCAGTCAGCCCATGTCTTCAATGTCCAACAAGCTACCACCAGTCGCTGGGAGGCGGAGCGGGAGCAGTTAGCTTTCAACAGACGCATACCTTTCAGGGGAGCCAGTCCTTTCGGGAATCAGAAAGGCTCAGCACGGCTACTGGGGCTAACAATGGGTCTGATCTGGCGCCGGGCGGATGGCACGCGGGCGCTGAAGAGTGAGGAAACTCTGGCGAGCGAGCTCGGCAGCGTAGAAGTGGCTAAGTTGGCGCTGAAAGCTTTTGCGGCGGCGCCGGTCAGATGGAGAGACATGCTGCTGGAAACCTTGTCAAGCGAGGAGATACTAGCTAAGGTTCCACTGCTGCGGCACCAGAGGAGTATCTTCGCGCGCCCTACGCTCTGGAAGGTCGGCGGCGCTGATAACGGCAGAGTGGCGGGGGTGCTGTGTCAGGAAAGCGCTGACGGTACCTTCACAGTCGGCGACGGGAAATACCCGGTAAATTTCGGACTGCATAGCGGGGAGCCGATAGCAGCCCAGGGAGATAAAGTGTTGGGGCCTATGGGCGAGGCGCGGACGAAGTTTCTACAGTCTAAGCTAATCAAGGACGGAGGGGTGCTACCGCTGAAAGAGATCAGGAAGGAGTTAGTCACTTCAGCTGGTGTTGTGAAGGAGCAGAGGAGGTGGATTGGTGATGGTGTTAAGAACCTAAGGCAAGGATGATGGATTAGGTGAAGGCTAGGGTACAAGACTAGGGTATCGAGGAAGTTTGTGTACCCCTTAGTGCTAACCCCCATACAGCCTAGATAACCTGAACAAGCATATATATATATAATTTGACACACCCCCATAGGCAAAATGGGGGATAGCCAGAGCAAGCAACGGTCACAAGACCAGTCAAGAGAAGAAACAAAACACAGCTCAGGGTGGATCACAACGTCACCACGCAGTCTGAGCACAAGCAAAAGACCACAAGGCCAGTTCACATGCAGAGATATATATATAGATCACAGTACAAACAAAGCCTACAGCAAGTGAGGAAATGTGGGCACTAGGCCTAACAAGGTGCAGAAACGCTGATGATCACCAGGCGGAAGCGCCTTGGTGAATATATAAGCAGTGTTGGCCCGAGTGGCCACGTAAGCAAGACGAAGCTGGCCACGCTGCTGCAGCTCTCGAGCAAGGAAGTAACGCAGAGCGATGTGCTTCGTTCTGTGCTCCAGTCTGTGCTCCTGACACAAGGCAATGGCGGCCTTGTTGTCGACGTACAGAACTGGAGGAGAACAAGGCCGCTCTCCCAAGTCGGTCAGCAGGTAGGTGAGCCAGCGTAGCTCCTGTGCAGCTATGGCTGTGGCGTAGATCTCGGCCTCACAGCTGGAGCCGAGAACTGAAGACGAACGTGTAGAACGCCAGGAAACTGAGCCAGAACCAAGGCTGAAGGTGTAACCCTGTGACGACCGCTGCGTAGCCTGGTCGTCAACTCAAGAGGCGTCCGAGTGACCAGTGAGGACAACGTCGCTCCGTCCTCCAAGCACGAGCCCCATGCCCGATGTACTGCACAAGTAGCGTAATACCCTCTTGGCAGCATCCATGTGCACCTTTCGGTGCCGACCAGGAGCCACGTAGCGAGCCAGAAGGCCAAGAGGGTACGCAAGGTCAGGACGAGTGCAGGTCATCAGGTACATGAGGCAGCCCACTAGCTCTGGGTAAGGACCACTCGGCTCTACGGACTCGTCCGAAGGTGGAGCTGAGAGCGAGTGACCTGTAGCCAGAGGAGTGGCCTGTGACGAGGACCAGGTGAAGCCGAAGCGCTGAAGGACCTGCTGCACCATGTGTGACTGAGTCAGTGTGATGGTGCGGCGTGCTCTGTCCCGGGTGATCCGCAAGCCAAGATAGCTTGTCAGCTCACCCAGGTCTGTGCACGTGTGTCTCTTCTGCAACTCCGACTTCACCAGGGCGAGAGCCTCAGTGTCAGCAGTGGCAAAGACCAAGTCGTCGACGTACACGAGGATGTAGAACGGCGGCAGCGAAGTGTCGGTGCGCAGAAACAGCGACGGGTCAGCAGTCGACGGAGCAAACCCAAGAGCCGCAAGTGTCGTCCTCAGTGTGTCGTGCCACTCACGTGGCGCCTGGCGGAGACCGTAGACCGGCCGCCTGAGGCTCCACTGGGTACCAGGAGGGAACGACCCAGTGAAGCCAGGAGGGCGGCGCAGCCAGATCTCCTCGTGCAGACTGCCCTGTAAGAAGGCTGTGCTGAAGTCAAGAGAGTGAAGCTCGTAGTCACGCTGAGCGGCAACGTGCAGCAGCACCCGAAGAGTGGTCATCTTCGGGGTGGGGGAGAAGGTCTGAAAGAAGTCTACTCCCTCTCGCTGACTGAAACCTCGTGCAACGTAACGCGCCTTGAAGACAGGCGGAGAACCTGGCGGCCGCTTCACCCTGAAAATCCACATGCCACTGACGATGTTCGCCCTAGGAGGGGGAACCTCGTCGACGTAGGTGCCTGTGGACTTCCAGGATGCCATCTCTGCATCCATGGCTGTCTGCCACTGAGAGGAGTACTCACCCGCGATCGCCTCAGCGTAAGAGCGCGGGGTCGGGATGTCTGGTGCATCCGGGTCTCCCTCAGGGGCAAGCAGCATGGATACAAGATGAGGCGCAGCGGCTGCAAAACACTCAAGGTCCTCGTGCCTGTCCTCAAGGAAGTCCGTGCCAAGAGCACACTCACCCCCGACGGACGGAGGACAGACAGACTCAGACTCAGCAACAAGACTAGCAGCGTAGTCTAGACGACAGGCAGCAGCAAAGTCAACAAGCTCAGCGACTAAGGCAGACGCAGCAGCAGACTCAAACGACGGGTCAGTGACAACAGTGGCTAGCAGACGCGTGACAGTAG